TGTCTCTCTGTATCTCTCTGGGAACAATTTTTTTTTACGAATTCTAATCAATTCTTTCCGCCTGGTATCGTTCCCCCCTTAACATTCCTCGCCCATCCGCCATTTTTCCAAGAGAAGATCCGTCTTCAGATTAATCGATTAATATTTCCTACAACTTTTCTGTTTCTCCTCAGTCACCAGAATGTCTCTCTATTAATTGTAATTTCGTGATTCCCGACTAACGATATTAACACTAATAATATTCGTAACATGCCAGACCGTGTAACTGTTTCAATTTTTCATGAATGCATCTTACTCTCGCGACAGCCTGCCTGCACGAATCCTCTCGTACGACCCGCTTGAACTCTCCTGCACGTTGCAATTCCTCTCGGACGCATCACGTATCCAGTTCGCCTGTAATTTGTAACGCGCGTTCCGTTATCTCTTTTTTTTTGTTTGTCACGTATTTTTTTTGCTCTTTGTGTTTTCACTTTCTTGTGCTAGACCGGATAGAGATTCTAGGTCGATTCGTTAGTCACTGTACATACACCGACACGATAGAGTCGACAGATTTGAGCCGCCATTTTGTCGCGGAGTAACGCCGCGAGTCATTCAGATACTAAGGATGTTCTAATTTTGGTGACTTTGACTGAAGTTTTGTTCATTATTGGGTTGTAAAGTTGTTGCGAGGTGAATTGATTTTGACTGATTAAAGGAATCACTTCTTTCTTTATTTCTGAATGAATGTTTCTAATGAATTTTATCTGGTAGTTCGTTCTTCTGCATTCTTATGTTTTGTAAGACGCCTGAAATTTTCTGTTGATGTGAATGTAGCCTATATTTTTCACGCGTCTTTTAACTCGATACTTTCATTTTCACCAAAAAATGCTGACGCTGAATCACTTTACAACCCAATGAGCAAACGACTTTATCTGCTAAGTAGTAATAAATTCAGTACCTCGGAAGCTCCAGAACTGATTATATTTTCGTACTTTAAACTTTTCAAGCTGCATATAATACTTGTCTCTTCTTATTTATTTTTATCGATATACTAATTAAATTTATTTACTAGCGTGCTACCATGTAACAACGATCAAGATATGTTCCCACACTTCGAGCCAATATTATGTATACATCATAGCTCTCTAAATCAGGAATACAATCATCAAATTATAAACAACACGGATCCTTGTTCCTGCGCACTCTAAACCCGCAAGAAGATCCTTTCATTGCCGCGGTCAAGTCTGTCGACCTATTGAAAATCACCATTAACCATACTCTGCTTAAAACATATACCAAGTGCAAAACTCACAATTCCCAGTCCCTCGAAGAACCACACGAAAATCACACATATGACAGACTAATGTTATTCTCGAGCTCTCTGTTACATCTGCTTCGTATCAGCGATTATTCAAACACCTTCTAATAGCAACTACAAAAAACACTAAACTAAATCCTGAAACAAAACAAATCCACGATTCTTTGTTCATAGAAAAATCGCTCCTACGAAACTGCCTTTAAGGCCTCTACACACTCTGATACATGCTGTTGATACATCATGAAACATCATTTCAGCTAGCCTCCGCACTTCCAATTCTTCTCAATTTATCATGCAACACTGACGCACCGGGAAATATCTTCTCTGCCAGTGCCAGCGTTAGTTTCAATAATAACCTCTACGATCATTTACAAAAAGCGAAACTACTGAGCCTAGGATTCCGATTCCTGCATCCGATACATCTCTAGCACTAATGCCGATCTACACGCATCGACACATGCGCCATGCAATCTAAGTACCGGTGCATGTATCAGCAACACGTAGCACAATGTGTAAAGGCCTTTACCGTCAAACTTAGCTCCCCAAGGCAAAACAAAACAGTTTAAAGTGGAGTAGACAATCCACGGCCCGTCAGTGCCTCGATTACCAGGTAGCTAACGATCCTCTCCGCGTGTTTCAGAATTACAGCGAAAATTGACGACGACATGATCCGATATTACGTGGACGAGGACCTGTTTCTCCTGGAGGTGAGCCATTCCCGAGTGAATCCGGACCCGAGCAGCGAGCGCAACCCCAATCCCGGGTCGCCGGGTGACCCTGGTGATCCCGGGGACCCGCCGACAGCAGCCGGCTACGACGTTACCCTGATCGAGCTGCCGTCGTCCCAGGCCCACATAGCCCATTCGCCTCTAACGAACTCGGCGCACGGTCACGCGCACGTACACGAGACCGGCAACACGTGAAAGAGACGCGGGCCGAGGGTACGCGTGTCCACGACGGTCCGTGCCACGTGTATCCCGTTGTGACCCGGTGTAAATAAGTCTGAGGGACTGAGGAGGCAGCAATGCAGCGGTGCAATGCGAGAACAGCAGCGTTTCAAGGCGCAGCGCTCGATCCCGGAGGAATCGGAGGAAAGATATGAACGTAGATGAAGAAGAAGAAGGAGAATATGAAGAAGATGAAGAAGAAGGAGAAGAAGAAGGGGGAGAAGAAGAAGAAGAAGAAAGACTTCATGTTTGGCTTGAAGAGGAATCGAAGATACGGAGAGCCGCGACTCGGACCCGCCCCAAGGGACTAACGTACCGTACAATTTAAGAAGTCAGATTGATCGTTAGCCGATAGTAACCGCCCGGAGCTGTACACCGTTCGTTGAGCGTCCGCGAGCGCGAGAGCTGGATCCCGGATAACAGATCTTTATTATTATTGTTCGCGGGTGAGATTGTTCGTCGGAGATTATGTAAATTTTTTTTACGACCGGATCGGCTCGCGCGCCCGCGCGACACCTTGCGTCGAATCGGCCGGTACAGCGTCCAAGATGGCGGGGGCATGTGCCCCGCCATGGCGGCTCGTTAATGTTCTATATTTTGTTTGTTTTCACATGTGAACAATTTATATCGATGGTTGTTAGTTTAGGAAGAGAGAGAGAATGAGAGAATGAGAGAATGAGAGAATGAAAGAATGAGAGAATGAAAGAATGAAAGAATGAGAGAATGAGAGTGAAAGAATGAGAAAATGAGAGTATGAGGGAATGAGAAAATGAGAGAATGAGAGAATGAAAGAATGAGAGAATGAGAGAATGAGAGAATGAGAGAATGAGAGAATGAGAGAATGAGAGAATGAGAGAAAACGTCGTGGTGACACGCGATGGCTATATTGTAAATCAATCAAAATTGATTTAAGGAATCTTCCCCTACGCCCACTACCCCTATTTTTCTCCCCCCTCACCCATTACATGTTAAGTATACGTGTGACGTATAAGATGTATATGAAGAGATCGCCACTCTATTATTATCGTATCGTCGCTGTAGAGTTTAAATTCATTGTTTACGCGTTTCTCAGCGGGCTGATGTTCTCTTTCTCTCTTTTTTTTATTTTTATTTTCCAACGAGACACAGTCCGCCCGTAGATTTATATTTTGCGTAAGCATCGTCGCGAATTGTCCGACGCCATTCCAAGACAGACCGGTGCCATCGAGCATTATTATAATAGCGTTAACGCTCGTACAGACATGCAACACACGTAACACTCATACATACACATATATACATAATGTACCGCGCGCAGATAAGTTTCGTTTTTGATTTTTGTTCGGGTTCCGAACCGCTTAGTGTCATACTCGCCCTCAGGATTTCGGAAGCCGAGGATTCTTCCGAGCAACTTCGCTGTCATTCCACGTCCTGAGCGTCCCAGGATCCTTTGATATTATACAAAGACACCAAGTATTACTCAGATACGTAATTAACACGGTCGAATAACTGGCGAAAGGATTAAACGATTCCCGCGACGCAGGTGAACCCGAAATTTCGTAGGACCGAGGGTTGATCTTTAGGTGATTCGCGACATGTTGGTGTCCGTTAATATAGAATCGAATTCGAACGAGTCACATCTTGAAAGTTGAACGTATGGCAAGCGTGTTCTTTTCAATTGTGAATATTTCGAATATATATTTTGTACATACGAAACCTCGAGGCTCGGACTCTTTGGGGATGAAACAATCGTTTGTGAATCACATACGCGACCGATATTTTAGAAAATTTGTTGTTCTTACAAGGAGGCGAAGCGTATACGTATCTTTGTATCGAAAACATGAATTTTTAATATTCTAATTTAACGAAATTTGACAGTTTTTTCATGAATCTCTTTGTTCAGCATTTCGTCCCAATCGTTTTCAAAAAGTTCAATCCTAGCTTGCCTCGATCACGGCAGAAAACCGATTCTCAGCGCCTCGAAAAATCGTTGATCGAGAGCGACAAAAGTAGATAAACGTGTTTCGACGGCACGTGGCTATATTGTTTTGTTTCTGTTGCAAAGCGAAGCGGGATTAACGTGCCACTGGTGAAAGCAAGCCATTTGCCACTCTCGTCGCGTACATTTTTAAGAGGTCACGTGCACACGCATACAAACACGAAAACACACGTATACATACACTCTCATATCCATCCAGCATCACCGATCGAAAAGTACAGTAATTTACTCGCATTTAGATTGGACTAGAGAACATTATGATCACGATACTTGTTTTATCTTTCACACGCACACATACACACATTCGAAATAAATATATATATTATACATATGAATATAAATATGAATATATTATGTACACATTCACACACGGAACACGTCGCGTCGCGAACACACCGATATCAAAGCAAGGATCAAAATACGCTTGTAAAATGCATATTATTATGAGTACTATATTTTGTTACATCTATTGCAAGACAGCATATAGTTTGATATTATTAATATTATTGATTCTATTGATTAGAGCTGCGTAATTACGTATATATATATATATATATTATATATATATTTTATAGTATATATATATAAAATTATTATTATTATTAATATTATTATTATATTATATTATTATTATTATTATTATTATTATTTTTATACAAGGAATGCATGTTTTCATGGTACGAAAGTGCGCGTAAAAGAGGGTCGAAGCGAGGAAAACGAGAAAGAGAGAAAGTAAGAAAGAATGAGCAGAATGAATGGTAAAACCGAAACGAGTATGCGTGAAAGGGGCAAAACGGAACGGAGTGGTAGATACTGCAAGGTTAACGAGGATCGTTTAGCGTTGCTCCATGACATTGTTTTTGCTCCGTAATTGATAGCAGACTCCCGCCCCCTCCCCGAACCCTAATCATCCCAAGACGCCCAAATATTCGCCAAGCAGCCGGCAGCAAGACGCGGAGGAATCGCGTTCGTGCCGCGGTCGCGAGATGATTCTTATCGCTATCGTATCGAACCTTTATTATCCTTACGTTTATTAATATTATTAATTAATTATACATTATGGAGGACCGTCGCGTTAGGATCACGAGGAGACAGTGGATCGCCTGAACAAGACCGGTGAATGGACGAAGCTCGTTCGAACAGTGAAAGGAAGATGATAACGGAGACGCCATTTTTGTTCTCTCTGCGCTCTCTTTCGCGTTGATTACGCGACAAACAAGCGTAACTTTTATTCTGTGTTTCTTTTCTCTACGAATGAAGAGCGTCGTCGAGTGTTTTTGGGACGTGTATATTGGATTTTCTCGTGATCGTGACGCGGCCGCCGCCGATATCGTACTTAAACGTGAACGACGATGCGGAACGTAGCCCACAGGCTTCTTCGCCATCACATTTCGTGTTGGAAACGTTGCCCGCGTCAACGGAGGAACGTTGCGGAACAGACCGACCCGGCGCGGTCGCTAGCGCAGCGCGACGCTGTAATTTGTTAGAGGAGCCCGTGAAGCCCGGATTATAATGTTGCGGATAACAGATAAATGATGTGAGAATACCGAATATATGTACCGTTTTCGCGTTGTCTTGCCATCGTGAGATTGTGCCAGAGGTGATATTATATTACGCTGTTTATTGCAAACAATAAATATTATATTAGTACGTTTTATAAACTGTTGTGTTGTCATTTCCAGCGTTGAGGACTTCACGCGATTCATAGTCGTGGTGGTCGGTACAGTTGAACTTGTGGTACTTGAATTCACTTGGAATATTTCGAAAAGCTTGGAAACGCTTGTAGAAACCTTGGATCCTTCTTGTCTGCGATCCTCGGGGATCTCTGAGAACTGCGCGATCCTTAACATTCCTGGAATTTCTGGAATCCTGTAAACGTTGGACCTGGGATCTTGGGAATCCTTGAAATCCGTAGAATCTCCGATATTCTTGCAGTCTTTAGAATCTTTAAAATCAATGAAATCTTTGAGACATATTCAATCCTCAGAACGTTGAAGATCATCGAGGTCCTTGGACCCTTTATGGTCTCTAGGACATCCAAGAACCTTATGCCCTGGTCCATGTGCTCTTAAATCTATCACCAGGATCTCCAGGTTCCCGAAATCCTTTGAGAAATCTTCAGAATATACATCAGGATCTATAAATACCAATGTTTCTAGCTAACTCTGCCGAGTCCGGTAATTCTTATCTGAAATTCTAAGAATCTAATATAGCTCGTTCCGCGTCCCGCAAGGTTCTATTAACATTCCAAACCGTTTGACAACCTGATCCGAGACGTGGAACGATAATAATAAAGCAATCTTTATAAATAATCCCGATACATTTGTTTCTGCGGACGCGAGAGGATACTGCGGACGAGGCGTCGGAAGGAAACCTGTTGGCGAAGTATCCAATAAAAGGATTCCGTTCGTACATGGTCCCGAGGGAAAGGCGAAATAAGACGGTTAGAAGAAAAAGAGAGGAAAAAAGAACGTTGGTCTGGCCGTAAAGTCGGATGAAGGTCCGAGGCGTGCCCGAGCTGAATTTTAGAAGGGTCCACGTTACACGTGGGTAATGTAATATGTGGAAATCGGACACCTCTTGAATTAATTAAAGGAACAAAATGGAAATTGTTACAAGAGAGAGATTACAATCGATTCCGAGGATCGTGTATTTATGCCCGGGGATTGTACGGTATATGAAACCGTGCCGTACGCCGCGCAGCCCGACCGATTTTACGCTGTGGCAGCCCCGTTGAGGACGATCGATAGCCTTCTGCAATCAAGATCGTGTTGCTCGCCTCTAATCGAAAGATATTGTATGCACGGATACCCACTACGACGATCGCGCGTGAATACACGACCTTGTAGGGGGCCACTGGCCCTGAGTTGAGTTATCCGCACACGTTGCGCCTTCGGCCGGCTCTACGTGAATTCCTTGATGGTCAATAACTCACAGAGGGTGGTTCTTATGTAACCATTACTGTGATTACACGCGTGATCCCCTCGGGGATTGAACTTACCTCGAAAATCTCTGGCAATCCCGGCGTTCTGTTCAATGCGAAACGAAACAAAGGAGAGTATTATCTCGCGGACGGCGTGATAATCGATTTGATTAAGGCGTTAAGTACTACCATTAGTATCGCTAGTGTCGTTGAAAAACGTGGCAGTTAGTCGATCTAATCAACGGAGTATGAAAATGTAACGTTTAATATCGCGCTGCTCGTTCGATTTTATTGATTTCCAGAATAAAAACGTTGACTGACTCGAAATTAATTAGAAAATCGATGAAATTCGAGGACCAACAATCTTGTTCGCGTTGATTCATTGGATGGACTCTGTACCGGAATTTGTTATGACCAGGACATGTTTTAACGATCTCGGATAGATTCCTTCGTAACGCTGCAATTAATAGCAATAGACGAGATATTTATTGTCAGCTATTAAAACGATCAAATGTACAGGATATACGATATTGGTCAATTATACAAGACGATTATTAACCGTTTACTATAAGCGGCGGACAGGGTTAAACGACCGGCTACTATATTCAACCGCTTTTTACACTAGTATCTTAATATTTCATTGAAAACCTCCAATGTGTCCATCTTTTCTCAAAAAAATATTATTGTTCCATTTATTCACGCTTCGGAATTAACCAGAAAGCTTTCGCTTCGCATAATCTTAAACGAAATCTAACAGAAGTTACAAAGTCAACGATTAGTCTAGCATAACTAGATTTAACAAAAACCTTTCGAAGTTCTAAGAACTCTATCCACAAAAACTCGATCCTGCATCGAGGCTTGGAATGCTAGAAAATAAGAAAACTGCATACCTATAAATAATTAAATTATTCATTTCTATCTGTCGATTTAAGATAACCAAGTCTCGAGGTGCTATTGCAACGGCGTTAAAAGGTTAAAATCCAAAGTGTTAAATTACCAGCTGCAGGGGTGAACTGTTACTTCTTCGACGATTCCAGTATCCCAAGACCAGCCCCTGTTCTCGCGCCATTGCCGCGTCCTTAAATGATCTTCCCAGAAGCTGTGTCTGCGACCGATCATCCCGCGTTGTTTGCAAACGTGTCCGCGGAATATCGACGTGTTCTCCGTGCGTCGCTCGCCGTGGGACGCGGCTGATAATCAGGGCCCGGGGTACTTTGGTACTGTTTACGAGCACATAATAAAAAGCAGCCCTGACGCAACCGGTTTCCCGGAGCGGGAGACAGCGGTGATCGAACGGTGGCGCCAACCGCGAAATCGCCGGACAAATTTCGCCCGCAATAAAAGGCCCGTCCCGCGGGCCGCAAAAAAGTCCCCCCTGGGACCGGCGGGCCCGGTCGTCGAACTTCCTACGCTTGTGCAAACATTGGGTAACCAAAAGAACGATTACAAAAATTCCTCACCAAGAAGAAGAACAGAGGAAGAAGCAGAAGAAGAAGAAGAAGAAGAAGAAGAAGAAAAATTCTGTTCTGGTCGCGCGAGGATGATCGTGAATAACTTGTCACCCATAAATCTCTCGCTTGTATTTAAATCAGGTCCAAGATGAGGGCATTAAGGCAGTCCAAATTAGAACGAGCCTGGCCCCAATAGAGGGTAATGGCGCCGACACACGGTAAAAAAGGAAAAAAAGGAACACGCGTGCGTGCGTGAGGGAATGAGTGCGTGCGTGCGTGCGTGCGAGCCAAGATGGAATTCCGAGAGTCCTGGAGTCACTGAGCGATGATGGCTTCTCAGGATTTTCCCGGTTGACATCGGTTCGCAATTAGGCGCACAGATAGCGCGTTGATTTGACCGGCGCTATTAAAACGGCAGACAATAGTTCGGCCAGGTTCTTCTGGGAAAAGAAGTATCGACAGCTCGAAACGACTCGGTCTTGGCCACGAATAGCCCGCGAATATTTTTTGGTGCGAGCCGGTTTGGCCACTCACGTGACGCTCTCCTTCTCTGCGGGTTATTACGAGACTGGGTTTTATGCGTTTATGACAGATGCAATTGTCTCTGAATCTTCGATTCCTCGCTACCTTTCGATTCCGGGATTCACAAATTAACGTTCGGAAATCCGTATTTACATAAATATCGACTGCGCATATTGAACGTGGTTCGCCAAAGGAAGTTTAATGAGACTGTGAACGTAGATGAAGGGGTGTTTCGTAATACGGACTTATCGGTTGGAAATAATAAAATATGTTGGCATAAATATAGTGACAGGGATGAGAAGCGACATTCAGATTGACAAGCAAGACGGCGAAATTTTCTAGCAACCTCGCTTTGATTGTCTAATCCCTGGGTAAATTTATATTCGCGCGCATTTGCGTATACATTACTTTATGTTTCACATTCTTTCCAGTAATAAGGCTTAAGTGGCTAATATACTGGGTATAATACGGTACAATAATTTCCTTTTATAAGCGTGTGTCCGGAGATAATTGCATTAGCTTAATAGGTTGCGCGAAATAATTTATCGACGCAAACCTATTTTATTATCCTAGAATGATATACACGTGTATCTTATGGAAGAGAATTCAGATTATAGTGTACATTCGCGATAATAAATTTCTGAGAACGTTGACTGTTATTCATTGTAAATATTGTATGAGAATCATCGATATAAGTTATTCAAATGGGATGTCATCTAAGATGCATAGAACTTGCCGAAGATGCTAATTGCGATCGTGGATCCGCCGATGATGATTATTAATGGCCTGCCAGAAGTGAGCATGAAAAGAGCAAACGAAAAAGGCGAGGCGAAGCCGTGTTTACTCCCCTTGCCCTTTAAGGTGCAGTTCATTGAACCATGAAACGCAAAGTTTATGTCCAACCCAAGGCCTGAAACTTCTTTTCGTTCGTTCCTTTTGCTGAAAGGATACTCGCCACACTCAATTCCCGATAAAAATTCATATATACTTGGAAAGCCTGTACATTATACATCCTTAACTATTCTTTTGCTCGATATGCTAATTATAATATATTAATAACCATCATTTTAATTGACGTAAAGATAAGCCAAAAGCGACGACTTTCCACTTAGAAATCAGACATGGCTGACTGAGGGACTCAATCTACTTCCACCTGTACCTTCAACTGATATATTGATTCGTATCGTGAATAACCAATCACTCTCTGCTCTAAACAAGATTCATTCGAACCTCGCAGGTACTCCAACTATGGACAAGGTTTCATCTACTTATACATATCTACACTTTACTACAAACACAACCATCTCCACTATCCACAACCAACTCCACTACTTCGATCAGTCCACTCCCAAAATAAAACGTACCAACATCTACAAAACAAAAGACCTCCGTCACACGCAATAAAGAAACCCGCTAAAAATTCGCATCCCCTGTAATTCCGACGAATCGCATTCGGTCGGAGGTGGCGCGAGCAAAAAGTCCCGTCTCTGTCAATGCGGGACCGCGCGCGGGTAATAAGAATCCCCGTTTCTCCCGGTAGCCAGAAACGAAGACGAGGAAAAAGTCGGCGCGCGGGGAATAAATAATTTATCGCGATACAAAGATTCCAATGAGTAGTCCACGCCCATCGCGGCTGGTACGCGCACGCAGGCCCACCGCGAAAATAGAAGCAAACAAGTGGAAACTGTACGTCTCATACGATCCACGTTCGCCACGCGAAAAAATTCCATTCATCGTGGTCAGAAGGAAATGCACGCGTATCGATTGGCATTCGTGACGGCGCGCGAGATCGCGGAGGATCACGCCGGCTGGCGAAGGTAAGTTCACGGCCGTCCCTTACGTGTAGCCTTCCCTCGGCCTCTTCAAGGCCAGGCCCCGTGGATCGTACTCTCTATGCAAATGCGACTCCGGGGCCGGCATTCATGCTCGGCTGGGGAGTATCGGCCAGCGACAAATCAAAATTGATCCGGTTCCGTCACCGTCGCCTTGCATAATCACCGATACGCTATTGCCCGCCCCGGGGATCGATGTTTTCGTTCCCCAGGACGAACCACACGCACTCATGATACTTATCGGCTAACAGTCCTTCACTCGCCCGTTACCGAGCGGGCGAATTGGGCACGGATCTCGTGATCGACTGACAAATCGGGCCGGCTCGAGGATATTTTTCTTCTACCGGACAGAGAAAAAAGAGCCCCGAAATCAGAACTGTCTTCCCGGTGACCGCAGCTGACTCTTCGGACCCGTTACCGGAACGCTTGCCCATTATTCTCGATCCAGTGAACACGATTTGCTGAACGGTAAATGCAAATTAATTCAACTTTTTGCGTTAGATTTAAGCACAAGAGCGCTCGTTATATGAATAATCTGATAACCGATCGTTTTACAGTCTAGACGTTTCTGTAATCATAATAATACAATAGATATCTTTAATCTAATGTCCCAGTCTGTGTTTCAATGAAACTTGATTAACAGAGTACTTGTCCTATCACCTGATAAACGTGCATTTTTATTCATTCAAGTAAGGAACGCTCTACTCTAAAGGCAGACTTACTCTCTTACTACTCTTTCTTTATGACTTCTTCGAAAGTAGTATATTATAACGGACATCTTAGTTCGATCGGAAAATACCTGACCATTGGAATAGTTCTTTCCAAGAAGAGGAGGTAATTCCAGATAATTTATTTGAAATAACTCTATTCGGTTATATGAGTCGAGCATTCAAATAAAATCGTTCTGCGATACCATTCGTTGAGACGATTTCCATCATCCTCCGTAAGAATCTCCATTCCCCGATGAAAACAAGCTGGATCGGTAAGCGGAGTATTATCCCTCGCGTGATCGCGTCCGCCGCGGCGATCTCTCAATTCTCTCGAGTGGAAATTTTCGTACTTCGATATTCTGGTTTGCGCCCTCAGCCCACCCTCTTCTACGTGGTGCACCCGGACTTGGCAGGGAACCGCTAAAAGAACAAGAGGAGAGCCACCGATGACTGCCGAATGACTCGCCGTATCGAATCAGCTAGGGGCAAAGAACGGCGGAGAGCCCGAGAGGGGAGAACGAGCCCGTTATAAGCTCGAGCACCGGCTATTCAGCAGCTTAGCAACTTAGTGCCGGTCCCAGGGTCCCTACTGGTAACAGCGGACGGGCCCTAACATCTCGTGTCTCTCCGCCAGGTGTTGTTCTCCCTCGATTTCCGCGATCGAGCGTTAGAACCGACGATTTTCGCAGGCCAAGATGGTGACGGTGCTCGTCGTGCAGGCGATCCTCGCGGTCTTGGTCGTCGCGGACACCAGCCACACTGATTCCGCCGGCAAGTCGGTTATCTTCGAGTCATCGCTGGACAACCTCCGGCAGGATGAGCAAGATGATAACGCGGTGGTCATTGAAGGTAAGTCGTGCATAACGAGCCAATCTAAGATTATAATCGAATCAATCAATTATACCTGAACAATTGATAGAAGAGTTGATAGCAAGTTAACGCCGCAGAATCCGATTGGTCCTTTTGTAAATGATCGTAGTAACTTAAAGATAAATATAGAAACAATAGGCATTGTTTTTTTTTCAATAAAAATGTAGCGTATATTTGATATTTTGAGACACAGATTGCTGCGATCTAGTGTATTATTAGTAACTTTGCTTCTTCGCGAATACGAAATTGATCCAGTTACATCGTTATCGTGACTTTCAATTGTTAAGTGTCGTCTTTAAGATCTCGATGAAAGATGCAAGAAGATTGCCGGATGCGGTAAAGTTCTATCAAATGATTGAGGAATATTTGAACTTTGTGTGATACCTACGAACGACGAACGGTGAGCATCGACAAATGATCGATGATTCGCGCATTCCATAGACGGCAAACGGAAGCGCGACGCCACCGAGACATGTGTGACTCCTGTGTGTATAATCCTGGGTCAGCGAACTCGCTGTCAATAATCCGACCGTAACTGTGTTATAATATATCTCATTCCTGATCAGTCGAAGATGAACATTCCGGCGACACGGCGGCGATCGTTACACACCAATCGCCGTGAAGTGGGTCATTTTCTTGGTCCTTTGCAATTAAAATTCTCTGCAACAATAGGACGTATCAGAATGTGTCCCGTGGAACATGAGAGGAATACCATTCGCGACGATTGGAGCAAATGTACAAGTCTGCACAGTTCAGTGATACGTTCTACGGGCGCGCGGTTCAATGTGAATTCACGCGAAGCTGATGACCACCGGATGAAAACGATTCGGGTAAACCGAAAACCTTCGAAAAACATTGGACTTCTTTGATCGCCAAGTTCTTTCCGATATACATAGAGTGTCGAAGGGAAGGCAATAACACATGGTCTTTAGACAAATGCGTCACGCGGCGCGGACGATCTGCATTCATTACAACGGTAGACGATGTGTCATTCACTGTTAGACATCGTTAATGCATACGCGTGTATCCGCGGACGTGCCGAAGCGAACTCCGAGAAACAGTTTCTCTATCGATGCAATAAAACATCTTCCTGTTCGAGTGATTTATTGAAAAATAAAAAGGAAACTAAGCGCTTATAACGTTAAGATGTTAACAATAACGATTCAATGAATGATATGATCTTATTATTCATACAATAGTTTGTTTTTGCAGATTTAGTTTAATCTTTGAATCGTAAAGTAGTTTCTGCAGTTATCCAACTTGCATTGTTCTAAGAAAATTTAAAAGTACTCTCTTGTTTATCAAATTATCCTCCACTTGTAATGATGTATTTATTCTTCTATTAGTAACTCAATATTATTATTTGCTTATGAAGCGGCAAGTAATTTGGATGCTGGATTCGACACGAGAGGGGGCCGAGGCATCTTATGGAAGGGTATCTCGAGCCGCGAGTCCTGTCTGACATCGAAAGGCGAAGTAGGGCGTTGCACCAGCTTCAAGGAATGCTACCCCTACTTCAAAATCCCTGACTTGAGCGCTCTGGATGGCTGGGTGCTCGGAGTTTACGACACCTGCAGCTACATCCAGGAGAACGGACAAACGAATTTTGGAATCTGCTGCTCCAACCTGCTTCCAGTTGTTACTCCACCTCCGGCCACCGATGAGGATCCTATTGATCCAATTGTCGATGATGTCCAGGTGATTGATCGCATCAATTTCGTAACAGGCATCAGTGATCAATCTTAATGCATCAGCGGCACGATAACGTTCGAAGACAATCGTTACTGGTAGCTATTGGTTCTCTCCGTCGACTCTACGACGGAGATTTGGTTCAACGCGATTTTACGATTGATCGAGGCGGTCCGATTACTTACCAGGAACTCGTAAAAATAATACGTGATGCGAATCGAAAACGTTAGATCTAGTGTAGAAAGTCAGGCTTGGACTTCTATCGAGCGACGTGATTTCGTAAACGAAACTTTTACGACTCTCCTTAACCGCTCGCCTTTCCTTTGTGAAATCTTTCTCGGCGATTGTCGAATAGCATCGCGGTGAACATTCATATTGTTGGAAATGTCTCGCAGGAAACCGAGGAAAAAGACAAGGGACCCGCGACCATAAAACCAAGACCTCCGATTCACGGTTCATGGCCGCCGCAGATCCCTACGCATCCACCCGACCACACTTTGCCGCCATTGCCAACGCATCCACCGTACCTTGATTTAGCGACGACCTCCACGTTGAAACCAGTTTCCACTACGAAAAAACCGGGCTTAGGCACGACCTGGCCGACGAAGAAACCTGCCTGGTGGCCGGGCGCGCCGACCACGCCGGCCACTACCCAGAAACCGATAGGAACGTTCCCTACCCTGGACACTTCCCAATGCGGGGCAAAGAATGGTAACCAGGACCAAGAGCGGATCGTAGGAGGTCACAACGCTGAACCTGGCGAGTGGCCTTGGATAGCAGCGCTCTTCAACGCAGGCAGACAGTTCTGCGGTGGCTCGCTCATCGACGATAGACACATACTAACCGCAGCTCATTGCGTTTCCAAGTAAGTCGCAGAAAGACGCAGTACATGACTAAACTGCCTACGAGGAATCTCTATTTCCAGAGAAGAATTCGCTTGGCCTATAGTCGTTCGTACGTTGCTGGTCGACTTGTAATGTTCAGCATTGTCTTTCAAGATTGCGGATCCTAACTGTATCGTTTAAAGATAGAATTGATGAACCTTGGAAGCCGCTAGAGTACCAGTCCAGTATTAGCTTCGTAACCTAGATCGAATTTCAATTTTATCAATCGTACAACTTAATGTTATTCCAAGTATTATGAATAAACACTTCACCTCGACCATCGCTCTATGTTCGCAGTATGAATCCTTGGGACGTGGCAAGGCTAACGGTCCGACTCGGTGACTACAATATCAAGACCCACACCGAGATCAGACATATCGAGCGCCGAGTGAAACGTGTGGTCAGACACAGAGGATTCAATCTGCGCACCCTGTACAACGACGTCGCGCTTCTGACTCTCAGCGAACCGGTCCCGTTCACCGAACAGATACGACCCATCTGCCTGCCTAGCGGTTCGCAGCTCTACTCAGGGAAAACCGCGACAGTCATCGGCTGGGGATCCCTGAGGGAAAGTAAGTCTAACCTCGATTGAAATCAGTCACAGATTTGTAACTAGGACTGTAGAATTTCCATGCGACGAATTAACTTTTATAGCGATAACCTGATTGATTATTGTAAAGAATACTGATTATTGACCTAAGGATTAATATAACGTAACGTTTGTTTCTTCAAGGTGGACCACAACCAGCTATACTTCAAGAGGTGTCGATACCGATTTGGACGAACAGTGAATGTAAATCGAAGTACGGCGCGGCTGCACCTGGCGGCATTGTAGACAGTTTCTTGTGTGCAGGACGAGTTGCGAAAGATTCCTGCTCGGTGTGTATTGCGATATTCCTGTTCTTCACTTTCTTTTGGAATTAACTAACACAGCATTATTTGTTGTACAGGGTGACAGCGGTGGCCCGTTGATGGTCAACGATGGTCGTTGGACGCAAGTTGGTATCGTCAGCTGGGGTATCGGATGTGGCAAAGGTCAATATCCAGGCGTGTACACGAGAGTGACGCACTTCCTACCCTGGATTTACAAGAATCTGAAGTAAAATCGCGACGCCGGGAATGTGTCATTCCTGCTTGATAAAGTATTTCGCTCGTTATCATCCTCATCGTCATCGAACAACGCAATGCATCGTCATGTATGATAAAGAAATTCGTTGAACACATAATACGTAATAATTGATCAAGAGAACCTATCAACGATACACTTGTCCCGCTCGATCTTTGATCACGACCATGCAAAGAAGCATAACAGTTAAGTCAGGAATCTTCGCCTAGAGATAAGTGAACGCACAGAAACTTATAAGTTGTAACAAAATATTTTATAGTATTATACATTTACAACTATATAAAAAATAGTTTTACGTTGTAACAATCTTTGTGTTAATGACGTCTACTCCCATGATAGACCAGGTAGCGCAAAAAACAGTTTTCCTAATGATCACGTGTCACAGTTGCTCACGTTCAAGTGTTGCATTATGTTCCGTGCTGAAAACAAGACAAATTTATATGATCGCGAAATTGTAAATTCAGTCTTTCCGCACTAGTCGAGCCTACCTTGAAAATAACATGTGTCGTAGTTGTCATCAGGTTGAGGAACAAATGGTGGAACGGTTTTAAGCGAATCGTTCCAAGGGAAATCTTGGAAAAGATTCATAGTCCGCACTTCCTTCGCAGAAGGGCGCTCGTGTTGGTCTAGAGTTAGAAGTGCATCGATGGCCTCTGTGGCTTCTGTCGACAGAGCTTCGTTGTCCTCCGGCCATGGAATGTCTTTGGCTAAAATATTGGCGAACACTGCTTGTGGTGTTTCATCGTTGAACGGCGGGACACCGGTACAGAATTCAAAAAGACAAACACCTAAAGCCCACCAATCCACCGCAGGACCATGACCTTGTTTCAAAAGTAGCTCCGGAGCTAAATAATCCGGCGTTCCAAGTATACGGTCGTCTGACCTGTTGACGCCAACCTGGCCTCTTCTAACAGACTTTGGTGTTCTATAAGGTGTGTAGCAATTGCCTGAACTTGCCGGGGTCTTGATAGGAGATATACCTTGAGGAGAGCGGTGTTGCTCCGACGTATCTATTGGTATATTGGTAGCTGAGTGTGCTGACATAGGTGGTGGAAGTTGAAACCTTGTAGTCTTAACCAATGGTACTGTTTCTACACCATCTTTCTCCTCTTCTTCCTCATTGTTACTTTTTTGAATAGCCCTTTCTTTTTGTTTCGTGAATGACACTGGTGTACTGAAGGCGACCCTCCCACCTGATCCTTTTTCTTGTCCTCCGGTTACGCTATTAGCATTGTCTGATTCTTTCAATGATTCTGAAATGGTGGAGTTCATAGGACTCCTAGAAAATATGCAGCCACGGTTCTTCCGTTTTGGTGTTTTGTCTACTTCTAAATCCATTGCATTTATCTCACACGTTAAGCCCGTTGTACCTAGTGCTGGAGCCCTCTTCCTTTTAGAACCTCTTGCGACCGTGTTAACACATGTGCTCAAAGGGCTAGTATGGAAAAAAGTACGTTCAGAGCGTTCTGCTTCCAGCGTAGACTCATCTTCGTCGTCCACGTTTTGATTCAATCCACTATTAGCGCGAATAGAAGATGCTTCGCACGTGTGATAACTTCCAGAGCTACTCTCTTCAGTCTCTTCGTCATTATTGCCTTCAATTATAATATTCTCTCTAAAACGTTCCCCTAATCGGAGATCCTCGGCTGATTGAAAGGGAGTAACACCAGATACTCGAGAATAATCTTCCGATGCAGCAGAGGAAACGACAGAGCATGGCGACGACGGAAATTTAGTACACTTCCGTTGTAATGCAGGCAGTAAGTTAACACCGGGCGTGCTTCCATCACTGAGATTGGAGTCGCTAGTGGATCTCTGTCCAGAGCCAAAAGACAAATGCGACGTTAATGACAGAAGCTGTCCTGGTGTTCTAATACAGAGACTAGGTGTACAATTAACTAAATCAGATATTTCTAAATCCCTATGCAAGGATATTTTACTAAGCCCAAAATCTGTAAGTTTAACATGTCCCTCTCGTGACAGAAGCATATTATCTGGTTTTAAATCTCTATGTACAATTCCGTGAGAGTGAAGATATTCCAACGCGAGACATACTTCTGCAGTATAAAAAGCTGCCATGGACTCTTCCATGTACCCATATACACCCAGCAAGCTCTTAAGATCTCCACCCACCATATATTCCATTACTAAGTAAACACTGCTCAGGGACTGCAGCGAATAAAATAATTGTACGCAATAAGGACTATGAGTTAAAGCCAATGCATTCCGCTCAATTATAACTTGTGAGGCCATATTCTTGTTTATCATTTCATTTTTCTTCATTACTTTAATCGCATACAACTTCTCAGGATTGGACTTCTTGTATCCAAGGAATACTTTGCCAAATGCACCACGGCTTATAGGTTTCACAATTTTGAAATCTTGGATTTCTGGTACCTGAAATTTAAACACAATGTAGGTAAATTAATCTCTCGATTGCAGAAAATGTGTAATAAGTAAAAAAACACAGAAATATACCTAAAACGTATAGGAATCGAACAATGCAGCTTAATGTAAGATCTATAACCAAGTCCATAGTACTCCGAATGAGTGATTCAATGAAGATGTGTAAACATTGATAAGATAAGACAAGTTAAATGGTAATTCAAACAGTATTTTGTTTTCTTCCTTACCTTTGCCGTGGGGTTAACAATTTTAGAAATTGTATTAAAAATTGAGTTGTCCATGTGTCTACTCGATGCCTGCCGCGGTGTACACTCCCCGTACGGGATTTCCCGTTCGCACTCGGTATCATTGTCGTTTCCACACGAGTTCTCATCATCTATCTCGATGATTTGATCATTACCGTCTAGACGTAAATCTAGAGAGCGACTTGCGACCTCTTCCATTTAAAAAAATAACCTAAGCGGTACGAAGTCGCGAACCTATCTAATGGAACGTCAAATACTGATGCTTCAATTCATAGAGTGAAACCGCGGCTCAAGAAATGCGAAGTTTTATTCATCGTTCTTTCATATTATATGTTTTTCTCGCGTGATATGTAAATACACTTTAACGGCTGTTTAACATTTTTGAATATGAACATGTGTATCAGCATGTGACGGCATATGTGAGGGTGTTTCTCCTCATGAAAAGTTACCCTCTCCACACCTAGTTTTACCTGTCTGTATTGAACACTACATAGAACTACTCACGATCCAGTCTCGGGCAGCTCTTAAAGTAAAGGTAGTGGGGAAACGCTGTTTTCAAGTTACTAGCGTGAGGGGAGTAAGTTAGCATTTCTGGCATACGTTGAATACTTCAAAACGCGCGAAATAACCGGGACTACCAATGGCAACATCTTTCCTCTATACAACAATTGACCAATATAAACTAAATGTATTGAATAACAAAAAAAATTTTCTGTGACGTGTCAAAGAATATTTATAATTTTTATTATGTTTATTATTAATGGAACTTTCATGTTATTATATATTTCTTGTCATAGGAATTTTCATAACGTTCATGAACTACACTGAACAGTTCCCGCCTTTGAATTTTTTTCGTATTCACAGCCGCTCAGAGACTGTACGTGAAACATCGTTGCTCACTGAATAGCGTGTAAAGTGTTTATTTAAACTTATTCAAGCGTTAGAATTTTATTTTATAATACTTCAAATTATCCTTAGTTCTTTGTCATTTCTGTTTGAAGTGACACACATTTTTTTACGCATTATAAACATTATTACATTCGTAACCTCATCATGTGTGCTGAAGTAAAAAGAGCACCTAAGAAAAAAGCATCTAAATTATATAAAATGCCAGATCCTATATCGCCTGGCGAAATATTAACAGACATAACGAAAAAACAGTGGATTCTTGGCAAGTCAATCGGTATTGGAGGATTTGGCGAAGTTTATTCTGGTATACACTTTTTTATTCCTATTGAAACCTCGTTTCCTCTCATAAACAACATTTTATTCCATTTGTATTTAAAAAGTGACAAATAAATTTAATATAATTACAATAACAATTGCAGCTGCTCCATATAGTGGGAAAACTCCAAAGGATTATCCAAATGTAATTAAAATTGTAAGTGTTTTTTTCTTCACTGGTTGCATTAAATTGTTTATGTGTTACATTTTTTGGGAATTAAAAATTATAGGAACCACATGGAAATGGACCGTTATTTGTAGAAATGCATTTTTATATGAGAAATGCTAAATCTGATGAAAGTAAGTTATGTGTAAGATGATTCAGGATAGGTAATATAACTGAATATAATATAATTCTATAGGTATTGGTAAATGGAAAATAAAATATAAGATTCTTTGCATGATCAATTTTACATGATTATATTGCCCTTTTTGAAACGTTATGTCTTTATACATTATGATATATAATTATTCAGATATTGTGAGAAAGGATATTCATTTTAGTTGATAATTGGAGAAAGAAGAAGAAACTTTCTAAGCTTGGTATGCCACCATATATTGGCTCTGGAAGTCATGAATACAAAAATATTAAATATAGATTTATAGTGATGGAACGATATGGTACAGACTTATGGAAACTATTTAAAAATAATAATAAACGATTCCCAGAGCACACAGTGTATAAAATAGCTTTACAAATAGTAAGGAACAATTCAACATACATTTTGAATTCACTTGTGTAATGCATTTAAATTAAAAAAATGTATTTATATTTTTAGATGCATGTACTAGAGTACATCCATTTTAAAACATATGTTCATGCAGATATAAAGGGTGGAAATTTATTGTTACACTCAAATTCTCTAGATCAAGTTTATTTAGTAGATTTTGGATTAGCATCCCATTACACGAAGGGTGAATATAAGTTGGATCCAAAGAAAGCACATAACGGAACCATTGAGTATACTAGTAGAGATGCTCACATGGGAGGTACTGATAATCACAAATTAGATTTTAGAATTTGTTTTATCTTTTATCTTTGTACTTCTGAAGGAAAGATATCAATTAGAATAAACTATTTTTTTGTTTCAGTGCCAACAATGCGTGGTGATTTGGAAATTTTGGGTTATAACATAATTCAATGGTTATGCGGTTCACTGTTATGGGAGAAAGACTTATCAAGTCCAGCTGCAGTACAAAAGCAGAAGGAAAAAGCATTTCAAAATATTCCGGAATTTTTAACTAAAAGTTTTCAAGGATCAGTACCAAATCCTGTTCTTAAGTTTATGACTCTATTAGCGAGTATGAAATACAATGATGTACCAGCTTATGATAAATTTGAAAAGATACTAACAGAAGGTTTGAAAGAATTGTCGCATAAACCGGATGGGAAATTGGAATTTAAAAATAGTATTCATGATCGTAAACTGGATATTTTAAAATCCCCTAATCCGCCGAAAGTAAAGAAAACAACAGCGGATAAAAATCGGAAAAGTCCGCGTATAAGGGCATTAAAGAATTTAACTCCAGTAAGAAGTCTTGACGACAGTACTGTAGGCATTATAATTGATAAAAAACGTGGTGGCGTGGCAGATCTAAAGCAAATATTAAATGATATTGAATCTGACGAAGAATACGATATAAAAATAGTTAAAAAAGCGAAAAAAAATACTGATTCAGTTTCTGTAAATAAAATTAAGGGCGGGAAGACTGTAGTTAAAAACAGGAGTCGAGTTAAGGCGAAAAATCATGATGAATCAATTTCGGATTCTGAACCAGAAGTAAGAAACATGTATAAAATAACAGAATAATAATACCTTTAATTTTATTTATGAAGTGTAAGGTAACGATAAAAGATTATATGTATGTTTTATTTTTGTAGATTATATCAAAGGGATCAAAATCACGGCCTAACAGTGCTCGAAAAGCAAGGACATTGGTTGTCCACGAAAGTGCATCTGATGATGATATGTTTGATGCATAATTATTTCGAACATTATGAATTCTGTTTTGAATGCGATTTCACGCATTAAAATCATTTCTATTTGGTAAAATATTGTACATTACTGTATTTATATCGAAATTTATAAAAAACACAGTCTGTTAATATGTTAGTTATGCTAAAACCAATACTATTTGCAACTGCATTTTACTTTTCAAAATTGTATACATATTTTGATACGTCTCACCTAAAATATAAGAGTCGTAGCGTTAAGTGCTGGCTGTTAAACAGTATTAATTCTATATTTATACAAATAATAAACTTTGTGTACTTTAAATTATTTAAACGTTAAAGAAGAGATTTAAGTTATAAGCTAAAGTTGAAATTTTTATCAATGTATGATTTCTGTACATGTGACTATTTTAATATAGATACAAACACATGTCTGTTTATTAACAGAATTTAAAAATTACAAAAGCATTAGAACGCTGCAATAGATATATGCCTTGTTCTTAATAGCAAGAGTAATAATTTATTAGGAACATAGTCCAGATTGAAATTTTCTCTATATACACTTTGTATACAATAATTTGTTGAATTTTCTACACAAAAGATTTACTTCTTCAATTTCTGTATTTGAGGAGCACTTATTTTAACTTTCCCTGGAATATTTCTAGCTATTATTTCTTCCTTGACAGCTTTCAGTAAGTCTTTCTCTCGTGAAGTAATATCTTTATCTTTCAAGAATACTGTTACTGCTGTTTTTGCGGCTTTTCCTCTCTTACCTGTCCCGGGCGTTAATTTTACTTTGAATCTGAAAAATAATATATAAACGTAAATATAACAAACAAAAATTATAATATAAATTTAATATAAATACACTTCAATGTACTTATAATTCAGTAGAGTATTATAAGGTGCGACTACTGGTACAGCAAACAGCAATTCATCTTCTGTAAGAGGTTTTCCCGTCAGTTGATCCAACATATCTACCTCCGGTCCTGGACCAGTGTCTTCTTCTTCGACATTATCCATAATCTGTGGATTTTGTGATGTGGGTGGTTTCGCTATACCTTTCTTCTTTCCTTGTTGTTTTGGCCCAGACGGATCTTTATTCTTATTTTTTCTCTTATCCTCTTTTGCAGCACCTGCTGACTACAGGAATTGTATTGTATTATTGGGTTGTTGCAAAAGTTTTCATTATTTGTTATAAGAAATAAAAAGAAGAATTTTGAACTGTTCACTGTATAAACAAAAACTAAATAAAAATGAAGGAAGAAGTGTCCTCCATACGCGTTATAATAATTTAAAAACAGACGTTATATGTTTTGAAGACAAAAATTTTTTTGTTAATCACATACAAAAAACATCAAAATTTTTGCATTAATCCAATATTAAGAAATAATTCTTGCATGTACCCTTTCATCACTATTATGCAATTTTTTGATATGTCATGTACATTGCATTTGGAACTACACCTACTTGAAGAACTTGCATAGATAATTTTCTGTCTTCCTCGTCCTGATCCTTATATTTCTCTTTCATTTTCTTTAACCTTCCTTTTTGACCTCTTTTCAATACTACTTGCTCATTCTTTTTGGTTTCCGCATTGATCTTGTTATCTTCATGTTTGGGAAATTGTTTCTGTTTTCCTTTATTAGAACTCTTTTCTTTAATGGCAGTATTTAATATTATTGGTTTATCATCACCCAAGTAAATTACATTTTCTTCATTTTCATTTTGCGGTGTTAATACTTGATTTTGATCGATATGTAACTTCATTCTATAGTACGAGAAATATTTATTATGTATTAGATTTTATGACAAAGAAATTTTAAATCTGTATTCTTTGTAATGTAACTTACTTAGAACCAGAGACATCAATTTTAATTTTTGTATCTGGAAAGTGCGATATATTTTCACTCTCATCGCTGTCATTATAATCAACATTATTTTCGTCTGCATTTAAATCCTCTTTAGACTCTTCCTGAATAGGATTTAAATTATTTGTCTGCTCTTCTATTTAATTCATGATTATAATATTAAAACAATGATATTATATTATTAACTTTTATGCTGTAAATAAATACATTTATTAATTGTTCAAATTAATATTTTACCTTCATCAGAGTCTCCTATTAGTTCTATTTCTTTATCTTCTTCGACTATTAATTCTGTATGTTCACTTTCGTCATCAACAACTTTAACTCTTCTCTCATCTTTGTGCCTTTCAATTGAACTTTCTTCTAAGCGAAATAGAAATCCTAATCCCATAATTAACTGACATGGTGGCAAATAATTTTTTTTTCCACGAATCATAAATGATCCAGTAGTAAGATATTCACCAGTCGGAGCCGTTTTTGACACCTGATCATTGTTTACCCACCATGCTCCAGTCACTACTTTAGCATCCCATGCAATACTAACAATATAAATTTCTTTTGTAATAAAATTCTGATGACACAAAATATCTATTAGTAAATTATAATTTCTTGTATACCTGTAGGCAACAGCCATTGTACCTGCTTCAGCTAAAGTTTTTGGAGGTACCGGAGAACCACCAGGATTTTTAATTACTACTGAACTGGCACCAGTTAAATCAGCGTGCACATATATGTCTCCAGATTTAAGGTATCTTTTTACTATCAACTCGTTTTGTTGTTGATCCCTTCCACCAATTACTGTAATGTGGTATAATTATTACTAAATTATTATTCTAAATATATAATTTCATGAGCTTACCTAGGTAATTTTCAGAGCTGATAAACCAGTAGAACTTTTCAAACCAATATACTTTTCTCAATTTGTTAATACTGTGAATGGCTTGAACCTCTTTTAGTGTTTGCTTTGTTTTTTTTTCTGCAGATTTTAAAGCTTTATCCTGAGACTCTATTGTCTTTTGCTGTTTTTTAGCTGCTGATCTCTTGGCATTATAATATTTGCTAGCATTTGCAAAAGCAGAGTGAGCTAAATCAATATCAATCAACATAGGTTTTAATTCTGATTCTTCATCACTGTCTTCATAGGGATCATGTAAAAGTAGCGAAATGTGATTTGTCTCTAATTTCAATTGTTTTATTGCAGATGCAACTGGATCCCCTCTGTTTTCTGCTTCTTTTAACAAAACTTTTATATCTGGCCAAGCCATTTGATTAGCAAGAGCACTTTGTATAGCTAATATGGCATTATCTACTAAAGCTTGGTTTCTAGAAATTAATTCTGCTTTTTGTTTATCTAATTCTTGAGTCTTTTTTAATGTGATGAGTCTCTGATCGTGATCTTTTCTAACATTTTCTAATTTCCTAAGAGCATCGCGTTCCTGTTGCAAAGCCTTTATGTCTAATTTTTGACCTTCCATTGTAGAAAAGTACTCATCTACCGCAACATCGAAAGAAGTAAACTCTTTATATGGAGAATTTTTATGTTGTTCAAATAAAACTGGATGAAATTCAATATTAGAATATATAAAATCTTCTTTGCCATCTGTAGTTGGTTTTGTTTCTTTCTTTTGTACAATGTAGCCCTGTGAAACATTTTTTCTGGCAGATTCCATCATATCATTTCCACACTCTAAAGCTAGAATTAAGTTTGGCATGTGATCTATGACATTAAAATCTTTGCCAATTTTGCAACCAAGTGTGAAACCATGCTTTAATAAAACATGATCAATTAATGCAGAACCAAATTCTAAAAGTGGATTTAAAACCTTCTTGAGATTTTCTCCTGCTTTAGCATTTTGAAGATGTTGTTGAATTTCTTCTATTGGTGGCATGATATTTTTATAGGCACGATCCATAGGATATTTCTCTCTAACAGCAAATCTATTTATTGTATAGTCTTATTAATATCCTACTATCTCAGACTGATTAGCCAAATCTAATTTAAAACATAATTTTTGAACCATATCTTACCTAACTTTATCTCCCTCTGTATGAGGTCTCAAAATATTCAAAATAATCATTTCATAGTCTGTGAGAACTATATTACCTCGATCATACAGTTCCAATATTATATGATAAGCAGCCTCGCCACTACCAAATTGTAAATCTATTATTCTGTCTACACCTATTTGAGTAAGACTTTCTAATCGTTTGTTCTTCAGATGTTTACGCATCTACAGATATTAAATGAAGTGTCTTACGTAAATATTATTTACAAAGCATATAGTAATTAAAATATTAATATAAACCTTCATAGAGAATCCTGATGGAGCTACATTTTTTGGCCATTCAAATGCAGTTGTGTGAATCCTATTACCCGATTCTAATAAAAGGACACATTTTTCTTCGCTTCTTTGAAGACGTATGAGATAAGTTCGATGATCAATATCATAAATTTGATTTACACGCATACCAATGAGCCTGGAAATTAATATTAATACATAGATATACCATTTTATATATCTATCATAAAAATTTGTGAGCAATAAACAGAACTTAAACTAAATGTATCATATTGTAGCTTTTCAAATTGAAGGATTCAACTCTGTTACATTTTTGCATAATGCACTCACCTTTGCAGCTCAGTTACGGTGCATACAATATCGTAAGAATTAAATCGAGTCTTCATTTTTATATACGTACAGTTTCTTATACGCAAAACAAATTATAAAAATATTATAAATTTGACGTGTCACATAACCGTCAGATTTAATAGGTACATGTGGTGAGCACCAGTAACTAAAAAATATTTATCTATAGCAGGAATCAAGTTAGTTGAAGCACAGACTTAAGATATGTACAGACTGTGTATACAATATATTTTTCTGTCTACTGTTCTGAAATACCGACAACGTCAAAAATACCCTCGTCCTGATGTAGTAACGGACCCTACCTGAATCAAACGCTCAACTACTGAACCACCATCGACACAGTTCGTAGAATTTCTAAGAACTTCAAGATAGCACAAAAGATAGGTTATCGATGGAGTAAAGAAATAAATAAGTTTGTGCTAAAAGTTTGAAGACTTTATCGTAGATGACGGTGTGAGTTCTTTTATTACATTTTTTCTTATTATTGATTATAATTAAAATAATCAACTGTTAGAATTAACAAATAAAATTATAAATATTATTTACTTTTATTTATTCCAAATATGTACAAATATTTTAACATATATAATCATCAAATATCAAAATGTGGCTTTATGTAAATGTAATCTATAAAAGTAATGTTTTTGATAGTGCTTTCCTTAATCTATATGTATAATACTATAAAATTATTAGCATGTATAATTATGATTGCTTAAAGTTTTGTAAATAATTATATACTGGTTTTGATAATATACACCTTCAGATTCAAAATCTCTGTATGGTCTTAAACCAGAATATGGATTGTGACCTAAGAATGAACACTTTATATTATTGTTCAACACTACTTTTAATCTTGCTTGTTCTTCCATTGCTTCTGATATTGTATAAGATGTCAAAATGAGTGGACAATGTTGGTCAGCAATTATTTGTAAAGATTGTGCCCATGTATCATTACCAAATTTTAAGTCTTCACATTCACTAATTCCTGCATTATATCCAATAATAAAATTTGGTTTCATATTTGAAATATTATTAAAATAATTTGTATAAAATACATTATGCGTTTCAATTAAAAGCTTCTTGTTATTAGATTGACAATGATTACAAAGATTTATTGATATAGGGTCTGGAAATACTTCAGGCCCTATTAATATGATTTGTACTACTGTTGATTTTGGTAACCAATGTAACAAAATTTCCCACAAATTTATACCACTAACTTCTAACATATTTGCTGCAATTATGTGAATAATTATCTTATCTTCCCACAAAAACTCTTTTAACTTTTTCATTGCATATAGACATGTTAGAGGTCGTGTAAGATATTCTGCATTAATTATTGTTTGTTCCTCTATTGATAATTGCAAAGACATTTCTTCTTTAACATACTGTTTTATAAAATCTTCAATACATCCTGGTAGATCCATATAATTCATGCGACAAGGTAGTTTTAATTCAGGTATTTTCTTCTCATGCATTATTAAAGCCAAATCTAATTTAAAACATAATTTAAACATATAGCATACTTTTATATGTGCTGCATGATTTTTATGTTTTACACAGAAACTAGCTGCAGGACAATTTAAACAATCCACAAGCTCTTTTGGATTTCGGTTGTGACACACTGTACATGATCTAAGAAATTTAAACATTTGTTCCTCATAATGTTTTAATCTTCTAGGAATTTTCATTGCTACCAATAACATGAAGTTCATCTTCATATCAGTCCATTTTTTGATATTAATATCTCCATAATTCAAAAAGTTTGATAATTTATTATCATTCAAAATATTGCATATAATACTACATAAATCTCTGTGTTGTGGCCAATGTTTTCTTTGATGTCCCTTAGAACAATAAGCAATCATTGTACAATTGCCACATCTTTTTAATGAAATTCCTTCACCAAACTGTTTACAAACATGACAAGCATTTGTATAAAAATGGTAGTTGCTGTGCTTTTCCAACATTTTCTTACAGGAAAGTTCTTATGAAATCTTATAAATATAATCTTATCAAAATGTAATTTGTAAAACTTTCAAAAATTTATAAAAAAGATTGTTCTTCTTGATAGTGTGATGACTGAAAGTCATTTCAAATAAAACTTCTTTCATAAAGTGCTATTTTCATTTTTTATCATTATTTCACGTTTCAATTGTACAATATACTTTTCATTATTATGTGTTTATCAGGTAACTTCGAAATTATTTAAGTTTGTACACTGTTATTTAAAATAAACGTGAATCTTCGAGAAGCAGTCATCGCATTGGTTTTTCTAACAAACATTCTTTCGGCTTTTAATCGGTGTTGCCATCTACAGTAAGAAGGACTGACTTTTGGTGCACTTAAATATTTACCGTTTTATTTTAAATGGTTGGGGATCGGGGAATAACATACAGAATTTAACGAAATGTGCTATCACTGAAGAAATTGTATAAATAAACATTTAACTTGGTGCTACAATATTAATCATCGTGTAAGGCACAACTTCTCAGAAATTTAAATTTAATACGATGACCTAACCTTAAATTTCCGTTACACGATAACGAATGTCATAATTTTTATTTGTCAACACAGAAAATTACTCAACATTGTAGTTTTACAGTGGTATATTATAATTTTCCTCATTTTGACATAATAAAACATTGGACATTTTTTTCTGTTGCGATTAAATGTCATCACTTAACCCAAAATAATAGGTTGATCACTATTTTATACTTGACGTAATTCATTTTCATTTATATGAATCGCCGAGTTATTAAATTTCAGGTATGTTCTTTGCATTTTACGATTGTCAATATTATGTGTTTACAGATTTAATTGAGATAAGCATGATTACTCTAAGAGGAAAATTAAAAAAGGATGGTGACCTGGCGAACTCAAAAAATAGAGATTATAACAAACGCATTTCTGTCAGAGATAAATTACTTGTCAAGGAGGTAGATACAGCTATATAAAGATATATAAAATTATGAATTATTTCAATTGTTTCAAAATGTTTGGAATTGACTAATGTGTTGTGGCTTATTTAACATTAATATTTTTTACTTATTTAGGTTCAAGAAATGGAGCAAACTTTACCTAGTACTTGTCAAGTTACATTTAATGACCCACACTGTCTTCATGAGTTTACACTTCTCATTGTTCCTGACGAAGGGTATTGGTTGGGAGGTCGATTTTATTTCCAAATTTATATACCCGAAGATTATAACATGGCTGTAAATATATTATTAGTGTTTATAACGTAGTTACTTACAACAAAGTAGATACTAACAAGCTGCCTTTACAGCCACCAAAAGTCAATTGCTTAACAAAATTATGGCATCCTAATATAAGTGAAAATGGTGACGTATGTCTTTCAATATTAAGACAAAGTAGTATAGATGGAATGGGATGGGCGCCAACACGCAAGCTTCAGGATGTTGTATGGGGCTTGAATTCCCTTTTTACTGTGAGTCTAAAAGCATGATATAATAAATGCAGTAAAGTCTTATTTATAAGGCATAAATTTTATCAAATTTGTAATGCTTCATCAAAAATAACTTCTATTCTTTTCAGGATCTTTTAAATTTTGATGATCCCTTGAATAGAGACGCAGCTGACCTTTTCATAACAGATAAAGAATCATTTCGGAGTAAGGTGAAAGATTATGTTATGCAGTACGCAAAGAGATGATTCAAATTAGCCAATAATATTCTAATAATGTATTTTTACAATTATGGAGTTGCTATCTGACTTTGACAGACAAGTTTAAAATTCGTTTGAAAGATTCTTGTGTTTTTCTTTTTTTAAGGTGATACCAATCAAATTCATATACAATATTTTGCTACTAGTCTTCTCAATTTAGGGAGATCGTATCTGTTGTACTTCCGTGTCGTTAATTGTATGCAGCTTTTGATTGTTCTAATACTCCATTGCAGTTATGATACAATTTATATTTGTAATTATTGGTACAAGGAACGAGGACAGAGAAATATGTCATTTGTACAATATGCTTATCCTCTTTATAGAGCATTGTAATGATGGAAGATAATTTGTAAATAAATTCCATATTTAATAATAAGATTTTTAATTGCGTTATTTGTGAACACCATGGGACAATATCCGTGTTTAAATGTACATGTTTTTGTCTTTATTACTTAGCATTTATTGGTGATTTTATTAGAATATAATTATCGTTTTTGTACAATTTCAAAGGGTGCGGTTCGTACCTTGATTCATTAAAACATGGTACCCCTTACGTTACATTCAAATATACTGATCATTCCTTTTGCCATCTTGACTGTGAATCTTTCACGTACTGATAGACGTTGGTATCTGTTAAAATAATTAAAAGTTGTAACAAATAAATAATAACAAAAAAAGAGAACAAGGAAAAGAAGCTCTTGCGTTTCATTTCTTCTTAGTAACTGATTCCTTGTCCTCCACAAGACTGACTAGATAAGTGCGTGAAGTTTTACGGTCACGTTAGGTAAAGAAAATTGGAAAAATCGTTGCTTAATCGTATCTTATTCATTAGAACGTGGTGAGCAGTTCTTCCTGTATGCTAGTCGATCTGATAAGTTTCTGCGTGGAACCTAACAAGCTTTCGCTTCCCAATGTTTGACTGTCGGATGCCGCTTTTGATTTCTCTTCGTGGTACTCCTCACTGTATTCTTTTAGTCTATTGCCCAAGAACACAGCCCTCTCGCGTTTCTTAATCATAAAGTCTGACAGCTGAAGCCATCTGTGTTCATGGCACTCCTCTACCAATGGTCTTTTACTAAAAAAAAATTTACAACATAAATTTATAACATTTACATCACTGTACACATATAATAATGAACAAAATTGATTATTTCAACATACTTAGGTGCCCGTTTAAAGACCAACATAAAGAACCTTGTGGCCTCTTGACTTAATTCCTTGTACAGATTTTCGAATCTGTACCTGACAAATAGGATGTTCTGCCTGGTCTCATCAGGATCCTTACCGCGGAACGGTGAGGTGCCAGATAGAAGAACGTACATTAGGACACCAACCATCCAGATGTCTGTTTGAGGATGAGCTGGCTCCTCGTTATAGACCTCAGGTGCTCTGTACTCGGGATGACCGAGTTTAGGCACAGGAGTGCCTAATTTGCTTACAAACCGAGCTGAGCCCATGTCGACCAGCTTTATCTGGAGTGATCTAACAGTAGACATCACCACGTTATCAGGCTGAATATCTAGGTGGCTATATCCTCGCCAGTGGAGATACTGCAGACCATCAAGAATCTGCGATATAACTGTCGCCACGCAGTTTTCTGTGTACTCGTGTCTACTTGAGAAATATGTGAGTACATCTGCACCTTGCAGCTTCTCTAGAATAAATATCGCAACTGGGGAGCCTGGCGACTTGTATGCTGCTTCCAACATGGCTATCCTTTCGTGTCTCAGAGAGCGAAGAGCTTCGAACTCTCTGTTTACTTGCTTCTCAGTGTCTGCGTTCAGCTCCAAGATCTTGGCTACTATGACACGGTCCGTGGCCTTATCAACCCCTTTCACCACAGCGGAGAATTGGCCTCTAGCTATCTCGGAAATGAAGCTATACTTGTTCTGTAGATTGGTCTCGGTCGACCATTCAATAGGATGATCTTCGATGGAATAGTCCATGTGCGGTTTGTCTTCTTCCAGTACTATTTCTTGTCCAGATTCTGTTATCTCTTGAAGATGCCTCATGGCCCGTGTTATTTGCACTTTCGGACATCCTGTTGGCCTGGTTTTAATCAGTTTCGAAGGGATTCCTTTCTCGCTCCAGCCGATACGGTTTCGAGCTGCTAAGCGGAAGTTATAACTGGTGTCTGGCTTCAGGTTTCTCACCAGGAAGAATTCGTGGTCGATGTTCGAAGCGAGGTCTATCCATTCAATACCATCACCTTCTCTGATTTGGAGATTATAGCAGAGAACAGGTGAATTGCCGTCATACTTAGGTTGCTTCCATCGAAGAAGGATCTCCATGTCTGAGACATCAGAAACCTGCAAAAATGGTTATTAGAAACCGAAGGCTTCACGGTTCATAAAATCTTTATCATTACCTCAGGAGAGTCAGGACCAGATGGAACAACTGCCTCCACCAGTCTGCACCTAACAACGCTCTGTCCCACCGTGTTTCTAGCCACAACTTTATAGCTACCCACGTCGTGTTCTTTCGTTTGACTGAAACTAAGTATAGACCTGCCGTCTTTGTCTTCAGTAATCTTTATCCTGTTCGTCTCTTGGATCATTATATCGTTCTTGAACCACTGAATCAACGGCTTAGGACTTCCTACCGCTAGGCACATCAACTGAGCAGGCTTTCCTTCTTCGATAGGTCTGATTTGTGGTTTCTCACGGAAGAATGGTAACTGCCCTTCCTTCTTGGATTCCAACATCGCCTCAGCTTCGGCATAGCTGTCCAATCTTGTTCCTAACTCGTGTTTCAAGCGTCTCAGCGTAAAGTTATCGGCTGCTCCGTATCTGCTGATCCTTGCTCGCCTCTCGTCATCAATCTCTTCGTCCATAACATCAGTGAAGCGACGACGTTCGCGTATAATGGGTGCCTACATTTAAGGAAAATCGAATTAGAATCTAGCGAACTGGAGATGTAGTATTCTATTTGAATTTTAGAACTATTCATTACCCTCCAATCGAAATTCTCTTCAGCAATGGTACGTGAAAATCCTGGACTGCGATTACAGGCAACCTTCATGTACTCGCGCAAACGTACAGGGAAATCGGTGTCCCGAAGTTGAAGGAGGTACGTATCTGGTCCATTCTGGTAGCTGTGAAATCAAGCAATCATATATTATTCACAATTTAAGGATTAAATGTTTTACTTTTGTTCTTCAAACTACTACTCACTGGCTTTCGCTTTTGATCATTCCAATCTCAGTGTCAAGTGGCTCCCTGGTAGCCATTTGGTTGTCCCAAGGTTTGACTGTAGGTTTCTTCGATATTCTATCATCACTGGGTTCAGGAGTGTACTTGTGACCAGGTGGATAGACCATTCTGGACGGATGATCGAAAGCAGTTTCCAGCTTGCGTCTGCGGAACCAGGTGCGGCAAGATGCGTTGTTGTACCAATCACTGAAATAAGTGAACATATTTAGAATAAATAAGTATCAATCTGACAAATACAACGTTCATGCGTGCTGTGAATCATATACCGATATAATTTATAATAGTTCTTCAAGTTCTCAGATGGTATCTTGTACAAATCCATAGGAGATCTATCCGCGTAACCGGTTATCCAAGAATGAGCAAGGGCAGCCTTGACGTCCATTCTCCTATCGCTATTATACATTAACAATGAACGGATGAAATCCTTAGCGTCTTCAGAAATGTTCTGCCACCGGTCATCGAATTCCCATTTTCCTTCTCTGATCTTCAGTAGAGTCTCTTTATCGTTGAAACCTCTGAACGGCGAGATTCCGGAGAGAAGGATGTACGTGATGATACCAACAGACCACATGTCCGCGCTATACGAGACTCCTTCGTTGTTCGTTACTTCCGGTGCCACGTACTCTGGCATTCCGTACGCCAGGGTCATCAACTTTGTGTGAGTAATTCTTCTGGCTAGACCAAAGTCGCCGATCTTCAAGTCATCGCCTCCAGTGTGCGAAATCAGCAGGTCTCCAAGCTGCAGCAAGATCACCGAAATAAAGATTCGAAGATTCGATTCGTAATAATTTATAATTAATCAATTAATTGTGAATGGAAACAAGCGAATGGAAGGGAAGTCAACCAACCGTTAAGCCAAGATGAGCCAAGTGACTGTCATGCATGTACTCCAGTCCCCAGAGCAATTGTCTAATGTAGCCAGCGATCTCCGACTCAGTATAGTATGCCTGCTTGGTCAGAGTGTCCACGAGTTCACCACCAGCAGCTCTAAAGTGTGGTTAAGAAACATTTCATAGCAGGATTCATATTCCGTGTTCGTGATTTCAATAAACCCTAAATATCAACATTAAAAGGAAATGAACAAAACGACAAGAAATATTTCTGCCAAAGGATACAGTTCTATGATCAATGTGACATTTTGGTCAGTCTCGTAAGCATCATGCAGTCGCAGCAGTTTCCTGTGATTCAAACTATTCATGATCTCCATTTCGTTGTACATGTACGGCTTGAGCTCTCCTCTGCCGTGCATAACCTTGGCTGCATAGTTTCTTCCGGTGCATCTCTCCACGGCGTGATAAGTGACACCTTGAGTACCGCGGCCCAGCTCATCACCAAGATCGTAGTAATCATCATACGGTCTGTCGTGACGCGTTTTGATATCGCTCTTCCTCTTGTATGTCCTGAATCCGTACTCGTGCTCGTTCTCTTCAACGTGTATCATCACGGAACACGAAATCGACCCTGCCACGTTCCCTGCGCTGATCGAGTAAAGACCTTCGTCCTTCACTATAGTATCGCTGATGACCATGACGGTAGTGTCAGGTTCCGTGAATTCGATCTACGAAAACACATATCAGAAAGGATTTCTATAATTGCTAACATTCAAGATATATTATTCGTCTCATCTAGAATATTTAACAAAAAGTATTGTCTATGTCTTTAACGATGATAATGAATATTCTCAGTTAGGTCAAACCATTTTTTAAATCTTGTCTTTCTAGAGCTAATATCAAAGCAACTAACCCTGATTCTCGAAGAAGAAGTAAGAGGCTTCCAATCCTTGTACCACTTGATCTCAGGATAAGGTACACCAGTGACCCTAGCCGTTAACTGCCCAGTTCTTCGTACCATCACGATCACCTCTTCCGGTCTCTGGATGAAGGTCGGGTACTCCGCAATCTGTAGGAAAACCCTTTGCCTGGCTTCACCGTGTTCGTTAGTAGCGACGGCCTCGTACATGCCTTCATCTCTTTCCAGCATTCTGTTGATGAACAGAGTGGCCTGTCCGTTCCTGGTGTAGCTCTGATCGTACCTGCCACCAGACTCTATCAGCTGGTCGTTGAAGTAGTAGCTCATCTTCGGCTTCGGGTAGCCGTAGACGAACCAGAACAGGCTGCAGTTGTGATTCTTCACGCCATACTGGGTGTCGTGTTCCTGGCGAAGGAACCTGGGCGCTTGAGCATAGTTATCGTGCGGCGGTCTTTCAATGTCGAAGTCCTTGGGGAAGTAGGGACTGGTCTCCGGGCGGAAGTCGATGCCCGGCGGCAAGTAAGGGAAGAATTTCGGTGGGTCAGGTTCCAATTTCGCGCGGAACGTTTGCGCGAACGGTGATGGTTCGCTCAGACCGTATTTGTTCTCCACGCGGATTCGGAACTTGTAGTCCCTGAACGGTTCCAAGTTGCGGATGTCGCAGACACAGCTGCGGATTCCCGAGCGAGCGGTGAACCAATCGCCATCCGGTAATTCGCACATCTCTACTTGATACGTGACGGGGATTCTGGGGCCTATCGGGATGGACGGTTTCCAGGACAACGTCAAATGACGATCCATCATCCTGCTGATGATCGGACGATCGGCCAGGGGCAACGGGACACCGGACTTCCGGTACTTGTCGAATTCTGCGTACTGGTCGGCCAGTGGCTTCTTTGGTCTTGGCTCCAGTGCTGATGAAATTGTAAATGAATGTTAGATTGATAATAGACTTGATAGAATTTCAATAGAATTCTTGTAGGGTTAATGCTATAAGATAAGATTCTTACATTCGTAGATCAATTCCGCGCTACACATGTCCGAGCCGTGAGGATTCACTATCTTCAGGACATATTTTCCTGCGTCCATGTCGTCGACATTAGATATAGTTAGACGCAACAAGCTACCTTCTTGGTCCATCCTGATCCTATCCGTTTGCCATATTCGGTCGCCATTACGATACCACTCGAAATCTGGCTCCGGATTGCCTGTGATACACGCTGTGAACTTGGCTGGCATTCCTCTGTACACCTCGGTGTCGCCGATTCTCTTCAGGAAGGACGGTGGTTCTATCTTCTGCATCTTTCCTCTGAAAAACGAAGAACAGTGTCCATGAAATGGAAACCTTCGGTTTTCAATTGTCCCGTTCTCAGAACTGAAACGCTAATCGAATTTCTCGTAACACGTACATCTTATCGACTACGGCCAAGTTAGCGGTGCACTCCACTTCTCCGCAACGGTTCACCGCCTTGCACTTGTACATTCCGGAGTCAGCGTAGGTGCAATCCTTCACGTACAAGCAGCAAGCGTCGCCGTCTAGTTTCATTTTGTACTTATCGTCGTCGTGCAGTATCGGCTTGTCGTTGAAGTACCAGCTGATGTCCGGCCGTGGGACACCAGAAACACGCGCGGGGAACTTAGCGTCGAATGTTGGCAATTGTTGCAGATCTGTGAACGTCTGCGAGAAGATCGGCGACTGGAAGATCTTTCGGATGTTAGCGGTGGACTTGGTCGAATCCTCGCCGAGCGGATTGGTCACGCGACACTCGTATACACCGGCATCCTGAGGTTCGCACGGATTGATCTCCAATTCGGTCTTCTTTCCATCGCAGGTCACTGTCACGCGGTCGGAAGGCGACACAGGTAAGCCGTCCTTAGTCCAGTTCACATCTGGCAAGGGATTTCCGGTGAAAGAGGCGGATAGGTTTAATGGCTGTCCTTCTTCTACGTACACGTCCCTCATCGGGTTCACGAAAACAGGTTTTTCTTCAGGCAAGTCCGCTTGAGTTTTGCCCATGATGCTGATGACACCCTTACAGGAGGATGTGCCTTCCGTGTTGCCTGCTATCACCTGATACTCTCCTGCATCTTCTGGTGTAGTTTTCTCGATGATCAGTGCTTGACTTCCGTCCGGAAGTGCAACTGTTTTTATACGTTTACCATCGGGTTTAATCTAGAAATGGAAGATTCCAGTAATATTTTCAATAACAAAAAACGTCTACCACGTTTCCTAATGCTATTACACTATAGTTACCTCTTCTCCATTCTTGAACCACTGAAGCTGCGGTGCAGGTTTCCCTAGAACTTTCACCACCATCTTAGCTGGGAAGCCTTCGACTACAGCCAGTGGCTGAAGATTCGTTATAAATTCAGGTCGCTTCTCTTTCTCCTCGACCTCCACTTTAGCGGACCCAGTGATTTCTCCCAAAGAGTTCGATGCTGTTAAGGAGTAAGTTCCAGCGTCTTCGGGGCGAACGTTGTCGATTCTTAAACCGATCAAACCATTCGGCTCGTTCATGAAGTATATCTCCTTCGTTTGTCGTAACGGTAATCCGTCCTTGAACCACTGAACTTGAGGGTTGGGGAAAGCCACTACTTGCGCTTCTAATTTTAGAGGCTGACCAACTATTGCCTTGGTGTCTTCCAGTGGCTTTGAGAAGGATGGTTTCCTTCTCTGAGCTGTAATCACATTCGATCTCGTTAGAATGGATCTGCAGAAGAGTAGCTACAAAGTTAAACAAACGATACTCACGTTTAACAGCCACAGCGCACAAAGAAGCGTGTTCGCCAGTGGAGTTAGAGATCACCAACTTGTAAGCTCCGCAATCTGTCGGACTGATGCAGTCGATGGTAAGCTTGGTGGTGCCGTCCAGAAGAGTCTCGATCTTCACGTGATCATCCGGAACAAGTTTCTCGCCATCTTTGTACCAGGCAACCTCGGGTATAGGACTGCCATCTACCTTTGCTTTCAGTTCTAGAGGTTCACCCTCATCAACATCTAAAGATCTTGGCAAAGTCTGGCAGAATGTAGGTGTGACTAACTCCATGCTCAAGTTGCAGCTGGTCTGAGCACTTCCGATCACGTTGGTTGCCTGACATTTTATAGTTCCTACGTCGCTTTTACTGAAGATCTTGACAGAGTAGACGCTGTCCACAAGGCCATCCACATGAGTGGTTATCGTGTGACGGCTGTCTTCCTTGATCTCCACGTCATTTTGCAGCCACGCGATCTTCGGCTTGGGAATACCAGTGACTCGAACTTTCAGTTCTATGTCATCGCGATCTTTGCAAGTCATGTCGGTGAGCTCCTTGAGGAAAGTTGGTGTTTCAGCTGTAATATTTTACGTTACATTAGTCCGAAGTTACAATTTTTTAAATTATAATATTTAAAAGCTATTTTCTATTTCAACATTTGAATCATAAATTGAAGCGAAGTCACGTTTCTACAGAAAACAAGATGGCGGCGCTTACTATGAGGCTGCAGCTTCGCTTGCGCGCTCGCTTGGCCGAGATAGTTCTTCACGGACAAATTATAAGTTCCTTTGTCCTCTACCTCGACGCTTTTGATTATGAGCCTGAATTTATTGTTTCTCTTATCTTCCTCGAAGTCGAATCGCTCTCCTTTTTCCAACACTTTTCCATCTTTCGTCCACGTGACGTCTGGCTTGGGGTTTCCTTTTACAACAGCCTCCCATGAGAGTGACTCTCCGACAGACGCTACCACGTCTTTGAATTCCTCGATCTCCGGTCGCAATAGAAGATTGAGGAAAGCCTACATAATTTTGAATCGTTAGAAACCGAATACAATGATTATTTTTAGTAAACTTGAATCGTTACTGACGCTAGCTTCAGCCTCGCCGTATTTATTCTTCAGCTTCAAAGTGTACTCTCCGGTGTCATCGTGCGTGCACTTAGGTACGCTCAAGGTAACCGTGGTCTCTGTCAATTTATCCGCAGCTGGTTTATTCTCAGCAGTCCATTTCAGTCGGCTATCGTCAACTGGGATTTCCTCTCCTCTGAAGTACCTACACGAGCAAATTACCTTCAAGTATCCTTTAAACGTTCCACAATTAATTTCTTAGATTATTCGTTCAGCATTGACCTACCTAACGTTTCGTTCTGTATGCGACAATTAGAAACAGTACACAGCTTTAGTATAAAAAGATAATATAAAATAGCGTACAAGTTACATAGAGTGCTTTAGGAAGTATTTAATAATGTCTAAGATTAATCTGTCACACTGTGATCATTATTCGCAGTGAAGCTTTTGGAAAATCAATAGCACGGTTTCGAAAAAACGAAACTGTGATTTTCTCAATTTATCTTAAACGTTCGTATTTCGATCAATTAATATTTCATCAATTCCACTCACCAAGTCATCTCAGGAACAGGATCAGCGGTGAACGTGGCTTTGAACTGGCCAGAATCATCTTTGGCTACATCCACATCGTTCAGTGGTTCGGTGAACTTCGGTCTTTTCAGGTCGTCGATGGTGCCGACGGTTAGGTATCCCTCGGCCGTGTCCTCGCCAAGTTTGTTCGTCATCGTGAACGTGTAGACACCTTCGTCCTCGAGGATGGCTTTGCTCAATTCTAAACTGTAATGGTCGCCGACAGCGGTGATCCTGACGCGATCTCCACTTCGCAAAGGCTTCCCATCTTTAAACCATTTCGCGTCCGGCCTCGGCAGACCTGTCGCTGTGATCTCGAAGAGGACCTTCTGAGTCTCGTAGATCGTTAGATCGGAGAGACTCGCGTGGGTGATGTGAGGAGGAGCTAAGTGAAGAAGGAGAATGTGAATACAGTTTCGCGAGGAAACGACTCGGCGGATCTCGCCTCTAAACATTTCTGTTTGCCGTGCAGCTAATGCATACCGCTCGCGACGTGCTGCCTTTGTTATTTACTAGATACTTTGTTAAGACAGTTTTCGAACGCCAGACAGTTTTGCTAATTTCTGAACCAAGTATACCAATAAGCGATCTGCGTTAGTTTCTCTGTCAATTGAAAATCAAACAAGTATTTAAGTTTGAAATATTGTAAGCTTGAACGGGATTGTACTTTTTAGATACAACATGGCGGTATAACATGGCGATACAACATGCTAATGTCGAAATACGATAAGTATATTTATTAATATTTTAATGATAACGTTGGTTACTGATTCTATCATACGTTAATATTAATTTAGTATGCGTTGATTACTCATTGGTACGCTTGATACGCGATTATCGGCGAGCTAATCTGCCATGTGGCAAGAAGCAACCAAAATGGCGGCCCACGTGCGCGCCATTTTGGAATGTCAGATGCGCGAGTTGTAATTTCAAGTGTTCTCAACGCATGGAAGATTAATTTTATATTGTTCAGTGACTCTGATATCGGCTTACCTCGCATTACCAATTGTCGAGACCATTATAACAGTTCTTGACTGACCTTTCGTGCAAACAGTGAGTATCGGTCGTGTTCGGAAACGCTGACAAAATTATAATCCCACCCCAAAACATCTTCTCCTAGCACTTATTTCAAAACATTTCCTTTCTCTCGACGAACAAATATCATTAACTACCGACTTAACTTTGTCAAACGCTTCCGACCGCAAGTGTTAACGTATACAGGTGGCAAGCACGAATGGTTCCGTTAATATAGAATAATAAACGAGTTAGAACACAAAGAGAAGGTAACGTTCCATAGAAACGAGAAGCGAATGATCGACAAGAAGCGAACAACGGCGAAGAATAGCAGTCAGATCCCCCTCGATACGAACGATCCATTCCAGCAGCTGATCGATCCGGTCCTACCTGAGTCTCTGCTAGATTCCTTCTCAAGAATATCGTCGAGGACGCTGCGTTGCCGTTTAACGCGGTCTAGAAGCGCCTCGAGCTCCTCGTCGACCTCTTCGTCAGCGCTCTGTGCAGCCTTCAACGAGTTCTGCCTCGACAACGACTTCTCTACCACCTTAATCGACTCTCTGGAATCCATCCTCTCGATCTTTGAGCTCTGCCTCGACAGACCGTTCTGAACACACGCCTTTCCTTCCTCCAGATTCTTCTCGACAGCTTTTTCAGCGATCGAATTCGTTCGTTCCAGTTTCAAACTCTGTTTACGCAGTTTGCTCTCCTCGATTGTTGGAGTCTGCGGTTGCTCCAGCACGGTTTCGATGATTTTTTCCGACGAGGGTCTTCTCTCCAATTTCGAGGTCTTCTTGGAGAGGCCGTCTTCCAGCGTACCATTCCTAGGCTCTTTCGAGATCTCCTGCGTCGACTTTTCGGACGGTGCCTCGTCTATCGATCGTTCTTCTATGATCGTTTCCGTGTACAAGCTGCCTCTAAACGGTTTTATCTCGTCCAGGAGCCTCTCTTCAAGCCCGTTTCCATTGAACTCCTCGTAGGAACCATTAGTCAGCTTCTGGTCTTCTGAAAGCTCAGCGCACTGCATGTCGTCGGTGCTGACGTCCCTCGAGATCGCTTTCAGCGTCGACTCGTCGTCGGACACGGAAACTATGGACACGCCGCGGTTCACCTGAAGATGACGATTCTCCTCGCTGGCCTCCGAAAACTCTTCTATCAGGGGACCGCCGTTCTGTTTTTGAGTAGTCTCCTCCTGCACCGTGTAATTGTACGAGGCGATCTCCTCGACCCGAGGGCTCTCAGAGTACAACTCCTGGCACTCGACCTTTGTCGCGGTCATCTTGCTGATCGTGTGGCTCTCGTCGGGACCTGCGAACGGTCTGGCTCGTCACCGATACCTTTGACTAACGATACTAAAGAGGAGACCCTTTCTTTTTTTTATCTCGCCGCGAGCCACCGGATGCAGCCGAAAACCCGCAGCTTCGGGTTTGGGAAGTTTTAGTCGATGCTGTTGCCACCCACCTAACCGCTTTTACTCCGTCTGAGGCTCGTGAAAGCTTTGTTTGGTGTGGCGTTATTTTGCTCTCGCTGCGACGGAGCTTGCGGCTGAATTAACGAGTGAGGAATGAAAAGTTGCATTTACAGACTATGGTTGTTGATTTTTGTGTGCTTCATTGAATTAAATGTCGTCTGTTATTTAAACAAATTAAGAATTTAGTTTGAATTCCAAGTTTCTCTGACTCTCAGTTTTCAATTTTCCAAAGGTTTTGTTTGCTGCTTTTTATATTTTTTTTACTCGATAGTGTTTTAATTCGATGCTGTTTCAAAATAGCGAAATTGACGGAGATAGTGAACCAATGGCAAATATTAAACTCGAATGAAAAATTAGATTACTTAAAGCGCATTTGATATTAGATTTCTAAATATATTTTACCACTGTTTTCTAGTGCTTCCCTTATAGATGAATGTATCTCGCACTCTGAATTGTTTCAGCCGCAAAAGCCGCCATTGCGAAGATGGTTACGCGAGCGTGTGTGTCATTACCTGTGAGTATAGCTTCGTGGGTCGTCTTGGAGGCCACGGAGATCGTGATCGTGTCACCCTGGTCACGTATTACTTCCACGCTTGCTGTCTCCAGCGTTACTCGACCTGAGATTTATACCAGACATAGTTTTTTCGACTACGATCTACCGCGTTACACTCAATCAGCCACCTCTCATCAATCCATCGACAAGATATTAATTATTAAACAATGATCTGGCCGCCGACGATGCCGTATTCGAACGTCGTATCGCAACACCAAAAAGAAAAATGAACGTGTGCGTACCAAAATCAAACGTTAACATGAAAATACGAAGCCTGTTTATGCTAGAGTTTTTAATTAAACGCATGTCGCGATATTTCCGCGGTTTCAATGCAAAACGACGTGAGCCGTTTCTATGAGTTTTTCATTTTAAACTCATTAAATTCTTATCGTAAACCAAATAACTTGCCTTCGGTTTTTTTCTTTACATGAAAGCAGAATATGCGAATGAGGTATAGTAATATTTAATTTTACTATTCATCAAGCTTTCTATTTTCACTTACCTCTAATGTTGTATACGTTAATCATTGCTATAATCGCTATTGTTAGTATCACCGATCTTCTGCATTTTAATTAATACGTGAACTTTATCTCCACATGTAAATACGATTCGCATTGTTTTGCATTACATCCACGGACTCATTGGCGTGAAAAGTATGTCAGCAAGAGCTCGACGAAAAAAAACAAAATATTCCCGAGATGTGTAAAAACTCCTCTTACCAAAATCTTGCGACATCGCGTCGATCATGGGACACAGATCGAAGCCATCGAAGCATATCTAGCTTATTTTAAATCTTTCTATACAGCTCACTCGCTTAACACTCATCTCTTTAGCTTTACTACCGATTCGATTTCCCGCGATCGACAGGATTACCTTCCGGTCCCGATTCCTTGGCGCGTTGCTCGGTCGGCTCGATCTCCTCCTCCACGATTTTCTCTTCCTCCTCGACCGTGATCTTCTCCACGGTTTCCTTCTTCAATTCCGTCTTTTCCTCGACGCTTTCCTCCGTTTTCGCTACGGAATTTCACACACATATTGGAGACACGTGTACCGGTCCCGACAGAATCATTTACACGGTCGTCGTTGTGTCGTCTCGTGTCGGTTACGTGTAAGGTACATAATTGTAGGCAGTTAAGTGACGAGTAGAAAAAACGTGTAGGAAAACGAAAATAAAATAAGTAACTTGGGAGAAACACATGAATCCAACAGAAAAATAGGAAACGTACGGATATCGCACATCGCAAAAAATGCTTCTTGCTGTGAGACACGGAGGAGACAAATATACAGAGAAAGACAGAGAGATAGAGACGTGAGAAGAAGAGAGTGAGAGAGATAGAGAAAGTTTCACGTCAACGTCGGGCATCTGACGCGATCGTATTTTTTTAGTTACTCCCAAATTGGTTTCCGTTGGTCTTGTTAAAAAGAGACTTCGTTGGAAATCTTGTCAACGACTGTGTTTTGTGGTTCTTCGCTCTCGTTCACATAGGTGACGATCAAAATCAGCAAACCGTAGAAAAACGAAACCGTACCTTGGCATTACTTACTGAACGTTGATAAAACACGACGATTTTCGCTGGTGGTTCTCGGAAATTATGAAATTGTACGGGCACTTTACGCGCTCGGCGTGTCGCCCCATCGACACTTTCCACTCTGGAAAATTCGTCCCTCTATTTTTTCAATTTTCATTCTCCGATTCTTAGTATCAGCTATCGTCAGAGCAAAGAATTGCCGAGAGCGGACGACGGCGATGGAGCGGCGCGACGATTGAACCGTGAGCGACGCTGGGAGGTCGGCGATGCCGCTTTACCAGGCGTTGAAGTCACCAGCACGGCGCTGACGTTAATCTTATGTCTGAAGCTTACTCAGAACAGTCTCATTGAAAATTAATATAAATTCGGCTTATAGGTGGACAGTGGATAGATAGAAGAATCCAAAATTTAAAATATGATCCTGAATAAACAAAAATAACAGAAGAATTCATGGATAAATACAAATTTCTATGGACTCTTTTATTTAAAGTCCACATCTAAGATCTATATCTAACTTTCAATCCTATTATAAAAAGCGAGCAAGGATGTAGCTTTTCTGAATTTATAGAGCTCGATGAGACTAGCAAACATCGCCGACCCCAAAGCGTAAAGAAATTTCGAGAAACGAAAGGAATCCTTACTCATGACGATGACTTTGCTCTTGCTGGTCACATAGCCGAGCTCATTTTCGGCCCTAACCTCGTAGACACCTCCGTCGGACCCTTTGACCAAGGTAACCGTGAGATCGTAATTCTCCTGACGCTTGCTGTCCCTCGTGATCTTGATCCTAGCGTCCGCTGAGACCTCCTGCCCGTCTTTGTACCATTTGACTTCAGGTGCGGGCGTGCCGGCCACTGAGAACTCCAGCTTCAAGGTGTCTCCTTCCTTTACCCTTAAGTCGGCGAGTTTCTTGATCAATCTCGGTCGCGTTTTCACTGTCAGCGTCGAGCTGGTCTTGACCTCGCCGAACTCATTCTTCAACTTGCAAGTGAACGTGCCAGTCATCTCGGACTTGACCTCCGTGATCACCAGTTTGCAGAAGTTCTCCTCCTCCGTGCGAATGTACTCCTTCTTCTTTTCAGTGATCTCCACGTCGCCGATGTACCAGTGAACGCTTGGCTTTGGACAACCGTCCATCTCCACTTTGAACTCTACGTTCGTTTCACCCTCGTTCACCGTAATGTCTGACATCTTCGATTTGAACCTCGGCAGACCTCGTACCTGGAATACAATAAGATAGTTAAAAATGATATTGTGCTACTTTTGTGTCATTTGTACTGCTTTATCTCTTTTCGATTTGAGTATTCGTGTTTTCATAAAAATGGAATATATCAATATTTCGTTGGAAAAGCTAGTAATGGCAATGTTTATCTTTCGATTAAATAGAAGTTCTTCTAAAACAGTACAGTTTCATATAGAACAGAATCTGACAGATTTGTGATCATAAATATTCCTTGCCTGGATCTTCGTTTGGTCGGACACACTGCCGTGATCGGACCACACTTCCGCCTTATAGATTGCAGCATCCTCAACTGTGGCGCCAACGATCTTCAAGATGAACTTGTTACCTTCCTTCACCATTTTCACGCGGCTGTCTTGTTCGAGAAGTACTCCGTCCTTGAACCATTTGGTAGAAGGAGGCATTCTGGACTCAACATCGACGGACAATATAAGAGTATCTCCTCCATCCAAAATCTGAGGTTCACCCAATCCCTTGACGATCTTCGGTGGACTGAGCACTCTGACTTTCCAGATCTCCGTGGTTTGATTTACATCGTTGCGAGCGACGATGGAATAGGACCCAGCATCCTCTATCCTAGAGTTCTTCATTATCAGCTTGTACATATCGTTTTGTTCTTTCACGATGCTGATGCGGCTGTCCTCTTTAAGCTCCTGGCCGTCTTTGTACCATTTCACTTCCGGCGCTGGTGTAGCTTCGATCTGCACCGCCATCGTGATAGTGTCGTCCACGGCGACAGTTATATCCGGTTGCTTCTTTATGACTTTCGGTGCGGACTTAACGATCAGCTCGATCTGTGTGGTGTCTTCTCCTAGCTCGTTCTTAGCCAGGATGGTGTAGACACCTGCATCCTTCGCGGTGACGTTCTTGATCACCAAGGACATGGATTCTTCATCCTCCCATAGGTACTTGTACCTGCCCCCAGCGACGATCTCGTGGCCGTCTTTCGTCCATTTGATGTCCGGCTTAGGGTATCCTCTGATCTGAAGCTCCAACATCGCCGAACCACCGGCGCTCACTTCTGAATGTTTCATCTCTGAACCCAATTTCGGCCTCTCCGGTTCTTTGAACAGCTGATTCACTGCACCTTGCACTGTCAGCTCGGCGCTGCAGCTGATGTTACCTATAATATTCGAATTACGTACTCAGGTAATCATCTTGTTTCTCTGTTTAACTATCATGAAAGTTCGCTAGGGTTAACAAAACACTTTCGTAGACTTTTGTGCCAACAAATGGTGGAACAAACGTGTTTACAAGGAAAAGTAATAATTCCATTTCATTACCTGTGCTAGTCTGTGCTACGCAAGTGTAGAGACCAGCATCCTCCGGCCTGACGTGCTGGAATACCAACGCCAATGTGTCTTCGTTGTCCTGGAAGAGGACCTTGAACCGATCTTCAGGATCGAAAGGTTGTCCATCCCTGAGCCAAGTGAACGTAGGCTCCATGCCGGGTTCAAGGAAGTTCTCCGGCAGGAGAAGCACCTTGTCGTCGGTCACCGTCACCACGGCTTCGCACGACGCTTCTCCAAAGCGATTCTTCGCGGTGCACGAGTACTTTCCGGCGTCCTCTTTCTGAACATCCGCTAAAACCAACTCATAGAATCCGTGTTCTGCCTGCTCGGTGACTACTTTCACGCGTGGATGGTTCGCTTCGATCAGAACATCGTCCTTGTAGCTAAGAAGTGAACAATGTATTAACACAATCTATTCATACGATTCTAAAAGTTCATCTTTTGCCTCGTAATGTTAGACTTGCAAGAAAGATTGCAAGACAGCATTTGAGAAATACGAATTGAAATTTGATTGAAACAGAATATTATTTCTCTGTTATAGTTACTCATCTTTCAAAGACTTTAAGTTTGAAGTTTTAAGTTACTTACTACTCTTTTTTTCTAGCAAATTATCAATATAACTTACTGTACGTAAGACCTAATTATTATATAAGGCAAATGGCTGAATTATTTTATGCTTACAATTTCATGTCAGGGTTCGGGTTGCCTTTCACTTTGACCATGAAACGCAGGAAAGTGTTCTGCAGTAGCTCGGTATCCTTGAGGCGCACCAAAAAGATGGGGGCGTTCGCTTCAGCTCTTGCTTGCTTCTCTTCCTGTGTAACTGTAATGGATTTAACGATGAAATACTCGTCACATATATTTTTTTTTATAACAAACTTACGTTTCTGCACCACGAGTTGAGCCGTGCAGGTGGACTGACCCTCACTGTTCATGGCTCGAGCGATATAAATGCCGGAATCCGATTCGAGGACGTTCTGCAGGGTGAGTTTGAAGGTCTTGCCAACAGCGGAGGCTGTCAAACGATCAGCCAACTTATCTTCCAGTGGTTTATTGTCCTTCAACCACTGCACCATAGTCGTCGAGTCAGTGTGCAGCAAGGTGCACTCGAATGACGCCATTTCTCCAGCTGCAGGAACGAGAAACGATTAGACAATGATAAAAGAATCACAGACGTGACGCTTATTTCCGGTGTGCAAATTTGTTACTTGCTTGGTGATATTTTACTCGTTTCTCTACAAGTTTACATACAAACGTACCCGATGTTTGTAAGAAAACGGGTAGTATCTACTCAGATAAAATGGAACAGCGATCAAAACTGAAGTACGGGATCTTTGATTTTTACGTGAAACATTAAGTAGATCTCGATAAATGTACAACTGCGACCAAAGCATATTTTAGATCTACGATACTATGATGATTTTTAAAAGACTGATGCTTTTCTCGGTGCTTGTTTTATTACAACACTGTTATAAACTTTTTCCGTTCGATCGTTAAGTGCAGTTCGGGGCTGGGGCAAAAACGCGTGGTCTCCTACGAAAAAATGGAGGTAGGATGACGATGATGAATTGTTGATGCGAAAAGAAGACAGTAAAACATTCAGTAGAAAAATAGTGGCTACGTGAAAAAATGTAGAGACAAGGCAGTAAAGCGTGTTCGTGGTGAGTCTGTGAGTGTTCGCAGAAAATTATAGAAATCGTGTAAATATGTATCTGTGTGCGTGCCTGTTTGCGTGTTTGTGTATATAACGTGTTTATATAAATGAACAGAGATTGACAACATCTAGGGTTAGCAGTGAAGCTCAACCAACCGCCTAGTGGAACGTATAGAAGCGTTTTACTCAGCTGGCTAGAAGATAATAAACAGGAGGACAAAGAGATAATTATCAGTGATACAGTACGATAGAAGACTGAGAGAGAAATGTGCATAGTACAGTGGATGATTCAGAATAGTAGGCAAACTGCGTGTCACTTTACCTACGGCTTGTATCAATTCCACGTTATTTTCTGGTATCGCTAGAACAGTAAAAATGTGTCTTATGTCACGTGCTCGGCTCTCCATTCCTATTCTTTATCAACTTTCAATCAACTCTCTTAGAATTAAACGTCGAATATCGAATAATAAATGTTAAGGATGCCTGACAGATATTTTCTGTTATCCTCAGATTCCTTCTATCAATAAACGTAGGTGCTATCGTACAAGTTTTTCGTACAACTTAAACCATTCATTCGTCGCCAACCAGAGAGATTTCTATATACAATTAATCACCGCACATTGAATTTGAATTTCGATACTTACGTTCAACACTCGACCCTTCGATCGTTTTGACGAACACAGGTTTCCCTTTCGCGCCCTCTGTGATCTTCGCCGTGCTCGTTTTCGTCTCTACAGAAGAGACGTTGCCGGCGGCTTGATAACTGCTGGAGCTGCTTTCCATCATCATCGCGCTGCTGGACTCCACGTACGCGGATACGCCATTGCGAGTGCTGCTGGACACTGCGGAATACTCTGTGAAAATTAATGCAACGAGGGAGAATTGTGAATCGGAAGTTTATTATGGAATAATAGTTGTAGATTCAGTTAATATCAGTCAATAGACTAACTAGTAAGTAATAAGTAACCATAATTCAGTTAGTATCCGTTAATAATCAATATGTATTAACCCTCTGCACACGAGAGGTAACTTTCAGTCACCACTTACTTTGATATAACAAAATTATAAAATTTTATATACGAAATTAATCTTTGTATAATACATCAATATATGAAACATCTAAATAAAACAGCTTTGTCTCTTAATTTATGTGTGCTCCCTTATTAGTTACTTTAAAATAATATTACCCTTATTTCATAAAACAATGGTGAATATTTTGAATGAAAATCTTTCTATTGCAAAGGGTTAATATTAACATCATCAGTAATAGTGAATAATAATTGTTACGTAAAAAGTTTGAATTTCATGTTCTACCTTCCACAACTTTGGAAGAGCTGCTGTATCGACTGGACGAGTATCTTCGCGACATGTCTGTAGTTTCTTCTTCAACTTTAGCCTTTTTAGACTCTGGATCTTCCGGATTACCCGGATTGGCCCTCTTCTCCACGACCTTCTCCTCTGGTCCTGGATTTCCTTCTTTCTCCGGTCCTGGATTGTCTTCTTTCTTCGGCCCTGGATTCCCTTCTTTCTTTGGTCCCGGATTCCCTTCGGCCTTCGGATTGCTCGGGTTCGCTTTGATCTCTTCCTTCGGTTCGGGTACTTCGGTCAATTGCAGATCGTCAGCAGCGTGCTCGGCTAACGCTACCACATCGCTCGCGTACTGTCGGATCTCCTTTAGCCAGCAAACCTTCACAGGATCCTTGTGGGCTACCAAAGTGATTGGATAGGTAGAATTCCCTGGACAGTGGAGTTCAAAGGATCGTATGTCCTCTGGGTGATCTTTCACTTCTACTTCCGGTAACTAGAAATCGATCACGTTGAAACAAAAGTGAAATAAATGGTAAATGGTTAAGCAAAGTTTGGATAAAAGAAACTTCAGTGATACTGTTTAACCCTTTGAACTCTGTAGGCTCCAATATTGCAACAATTACAATATTAAATATTTTAATGAATCTAAAAGAAATTACACTAAAATCATTCGATTCTCCATACATCCAAATTTTGTGCAAAGAAGGAAAATAAAAGCTCGACGAAATGTTATAGCATTTCTCATTTTCGCTAAGAATACTATAAAAATTAGTTGCAGTTGCTGATAGATTACAAAACAACCTGGAGTGCTAAGGGTTAATACAGCAGCTGCTACATCGTTCTGATAAAATGATATTTGGAATTGAAATGTAAAATGCAGTTTCGGGATTAATTCGTGATATAAATATTGAAAATGATAATGCAACGAGTTTGAATATTAGATAAAATAAATTTGTATGTTCATAAGTAAAACGATTACTCACTCGGATAATGTCTTTCAAGACAAACACGGATCTGTCTTCCGATATTCGTCTAACTTTGCAGACGAGTATGCGAGCTTTGAAAAGAAACAGGTATCTCTCCTTGCACTTCCCGTCTTTGTCGATTACCGTGTACCACTCCTGTGAATGCAGTATCATAGAACCGGTACGGTATAGAAATAAATGTTTATTATAATAAAACTCAGAATCTCAATGCACTAACGTGTGTGAGTAATCTGCCAAGTTTGTGGATATTCCCTTTGTATCCTTCGATATTACTAATGAACTTGTTATCCGTTGCCCTGTGGGGGATACCTAGCATCAACTCCAAAGCCTTTTGGAGGTCGTCGCAGTTTTCGCCTAGTCGGGTCGAATACTTCACCAGCTCCTGGATTTAAAGTCTAATTATTAGAAACCTAACGAAACCCAGTAATACTAACAATCTTTATGCTTTCAAATTATCAAGCATTTCGGGCATCTTATTATCTAATATCGTTATGGACTCAACACTTTTCAAAGTTTCAAAAGTTAATGCTCCGTTTTAAAGTTTAAAAAAGATAGTGTTCTCTTAATCTTAGATTTTAAAGATTACAGTCTTCTGTCAGTTTTAGATTTTAAAAATTAAAGTGTTTGTGACTGTAAAAATTAAAGTATAACGATTCCAGAAATTTCAGTGAACTTTTTAAAGAGATTCGGAAAATATCGAGGGTGTACGAATCTGTATTATAAGAGTTGGAGTATATCGATTGAAAATAGATTTCGCGAGGGAGTATCATCAAGAATCGATTTTCATGGATTCTTTTTTTCAGCGACAGAGCAGATAACGTTTTTCCACGGTGAACGAGAAAAGGATAACGCGACGCGAAGACGACCCGCTTTTAGCTCGCTAAATCCGTACGGCACCCACTCGTTCGCACACTACTGAGAAACGCTCTGTCGCGATATTACAACTATACATCGTCGAACTTTGTGACTTTCCTTGATCTATATCCACCCCGCGGATCATGGAACCACTAAGGACAGCATTAATGTGAACGCATTCCGGACAGCTTGACGTCACGCTGCCCTAACAGCGGTGTCGAGTATTCTCGATGCTATATAATAAGAGTTTGTACCCCAATTATTATTCGTTATTGTCGTTACTGTCAACCAGCTCGGTATATATAGAAAGAATTTAAATTCAATTTCGAAAAATATTTCTATAAACCTTCGTACATTAATAATACAATAAAACGAATAAGTGTACACCTATAAATACAGATGATCCGAACTTTTAATTTCTGTAACATATGAGTCGTTCAGAAGCCAATGAAGTTCAGACGATTTTTTTATATTTCTTGATTTTTGTAAACTTTAGTTATTTCTCGGATTTCTGATTATACTCGTTTTTTCTAGGTCAGAAAGCCGTTCTTTATATAGCTTCTGAATATGTTGTATAATAATTTCAGAGGTCAGAACATTAATTTCTTCAATTTTTCGTTTTCTGGACTTAATCGCATTCGCTTCTGAGCGACTCGTATAAAATGAAGGAAACAATGCAACAAAGTGTTGTACAGTACGTAACATCCTCCGACGTAATAGTTAAAGAACATTAGCTGAAACTCGTAATTGGATAACACAGAATTTAAATGGCTACAAAATAACATTTTTCAATGATTCCGCCTCGTCATTTATTTTCGAGCCGCACAGTCTCCTGTCCAGCATCTTATGTTCCTAATTCTTTTTCGGGCAACGGGCCCAGACGCGAGTCAAACCGATCCTCGCGGCGAGCCAGAAATTTGCACGCAACAAAATGAGATTAACGTAATGCGATGGTTATAAATCAACCGTGCCAATGGCGAGCCGAGTTTCGTCGGTACGCGACGCGGTGAATGAAATATTTTCATAATTCCCGGCGAGGTCAACCGAAATCGGTGACCCGAGGGGGCGGACACGACCTCGGCGAGGAAATTAAACTCGCGCGGAACAATTAATCCATCGGCATGCGTTTTCAAGGCGAACCGGGAAGTATTTTAGCGCCGCGCTATTTTCGTCCGACAGATCGAAATTTCGGCACGGATATAGGTCACGTGCGGATTTTGCGGGTCGTCGTGTCTAGCCGCCGTGAGAACGAATCTTGCAAACACTCGTTTATGATTAACAACAATTTTCGTCGATTAAAATCCAATGAAATGCATATCTGTTAAACGTAATATCAATTTTCAAGAAAACTGTGGAACCATGGAATCTTTCGCATAACACGTTGGCTGTCATGGTGGCCATCGATGACCGGAGCTTCCTAATCACTAGAAGAACAATTACAATTTTTCAGACAATTGACGTCGAATGAGAATGTTGAATAGAGTAAACAACTAGAGAATGGTATAACGTAAGAATCACGATATTTTATCTTTGCTGCAAAAGAATAAGCGATACATAAAGCTCTGGAGTTTTTCGTGGTAGTCAACGTGTGAGCCTGAGGGGGAAGCAACGAGTTTAGGAAGTGGAAGCTTTGATTCTGACAGGTTGAATGTCAAACTGATATCGTTAGAAAATAGAGATACTTCTTTGAAGCTTCTTCTGTCAATATGAAAATGTTAAATTAGTTCATTTATAAGTTAATCGTTCATTGTAGTGCGATTATTGTGATATAATATAAAGGAACTTCGTCAAAGATATCATATATTTCTTCTATATCTTCCATTTATTAATTCTAAACTTCTTGAACCGCAAAGTTCAATGAAACAGATTCTATATATAACAGAATTCCTCTCAACCCATCAATCAACCATTAATTCTCGACTTCACGTCCAAACTTGCCACCCACACGTGTCAGACACGTGAATCTATTAAAATTCACGTAAACAACGAATGGTTGCAAGTGCTTCCTCGCGAAGGATATGCACACGAGCTATCCGGGGTACGAAAAAAAAGCGTGAAGCTCGTGTCGACGTGACGAAACCTATCGAATTTCAGCAGAAACTTTATATGACGATTAGTTACGCGGGTGGTTTATGCACAACTGCTGGAATGCTTTCAAAAGATATACTCGGCATGCTGTATTTCTGTCAAAACACCCTTGAAATGTATTTTGAAATGGATTTTTTCGGAACGGGAGCGAGGGAACCGCGGAATCGACAGCGTTACCTTGAGCAGGAGCTGGTAGTCGTTTATGCGTTGTATCGGAAGCTTCAAGTGTTCCGATAGACTTTTGTCGTCACGGAGAGTCTGGCTCAGCTCCTGCAAACAAGAATCTCAGATGAATATCGTTATCCCAGCGTCTCTTTTTCGTCAATTATTCGAACATATCTCCCGGGCTAATTGACAAGCGGCAGGCCCCCATGCCGATCCACGCACGTATCGCGGGCGAGTTCAAAGGAACTGAAATTCGGTTAAACCCTATTATAACTCGGATTCGTACAATTTTCGACGAGCTTCTTGCTACGAACATAATATCATATTTTCAGGGATCAATTTATGGAAAGAGAATTATGAGTGTTGAATTTTTGGAACCTCTGTCGTTGAAGATCGTCGAAAATAATTTCATTTTAAACGTATCGTGGCTATTTTAATCACAAATCCGAAGATTAATCCGTTCGAATTCAGCGTTATCGGTGTCCTAAGAAAGAAGTACGTACGTTTTCGGTTTCGATATCGCGCGCAGATCAGAACTAATTCGCACGTGTCGCCCGTCACTGTAATTCGACACCCGGGCGAAGACGATCGCGTATTTTTGGATGGTATTGGATTTTCCACGCAAACTATTCGCAATCTGTCGAACTGTAAATCTGTCGGGGCCGAGCAGACGTTTTACGACGCTGCGTTCCACGAGAACAACGCGAATAAACGTCCCGCGGCTACTTCAACGAGCGAAGTCTTCATCGGCAAAGGGGTATTCTTCGAAGCTGAGAGTCACTGGATCTAGGAGTTCCCCTCCAAAGATCCGGCACAACTATCACAAACGTCACGGTGTCGTCACACAAATTTCAAATAAAACGTAACCTTTCCACTTCTACCGCAAAATACCGATAACCGTGCAAACTAAAACCATATTGGCCTGATTTAATCCCAAATATCGAAGAAACTGTTGTCACAAAGTGATAGGACTGCACTAAAAAAGTCCGAAATCTCGTCTGATCGATGATAAATCCTTTTCGGAGGAACGAGCTTTCACAGCGATAACGTTGAAGAATGATGATTGGCGAACGTGGAGGGCGGAACCGACAAACCGGAAGGGCGGGCGCACCTTAACGGAGGTCAAGGGGCGTAAACACCGTTCTTCGTGTTTCGGAGTCGTTGGTTTTGGATGAAGATAACCGTGGCTGGTCGCAGACTGGACCAGGTCCCTGCTCTTCCGTCGATTCTCTTCCTCCGCAGTCGGTGGTTACCGAAAATCACCCGCCAGGAGACCAATACGGCCACGGCTATACTTAGACGCCGGACGAACTCGCGGACTGACCACGCACAAAAACAACGCAGCCCGTCTCCGGATCGCGGACAGCTTTTACGAGCACCCGGCTCGCGTCCATTCGATTCTTCCAGATTCTTGGAGACACCGGAAGACACCCGCCGGGAACGCGAGATAAACTTTTTCTATCGAGTATCCGCCGGCTTTAGAAATTGCTCGTATACCTTGTTTTGAAGACTTCCGTGTTCCATCGAATAGATTGAACGACGTTGCGGATTTTTCGAGAAAAAGTTGGTATCGTAACGAACTTTGTGACTAGCATATAGTTTGATCGATAGTTCTTTGTTGGAAGAATTAATTGTGCATTTTTATCCACGTTTTTATGAGAAACTACGGAATTGGTTTAGACTCACTTTTTAAATTAAATAAAAATTCTATAATATTTTATGATAGTGTTTAGTTACATCGAATTTTGGACAGTCGTGTTTGACAAAAATGGAAAAGATTGGACTTTAACTGCGACTCAAGGTAATTACTACAACACTGATTCATTCGATTGTCCTTTTTAATCAACTTTCGAACTTTTGAGTCATCTATTCTAAAAAACTACGACTATAGAGTAAAGGAAAGTGACCAGAGGATATTTTCATGTGCAATTTCCCATTGGGTAACTGTGTGTTATCGAGTTTCCCAATGAGAATAATACGAAAGACAGACGAACCACCTTCTCACTGCCATATCGGCATCCTTAGATCCCCGGGACGCCCTATCCGTGTCGGGCCGATTTTAATGGCCCGGACCGAAATACACGCAAATCGAATCCAAATAAAACACGGAACAAACGGAAATGTGGCTCGTAAACATGGCTAATCTACGAGTTGTCCTGGTGCACTTAATGCTACCGAGCCTGTAACCGGACACGATTCGACCGATCTAATTTTAATGTCGTATCATTAAAACGGTCACCGGAGATCGTGTGAAAATCTCGGCGAACTTGAGTCAAGGCTCCAGAAATAACGACGCCGCGATCACGCGGAAAAAAGCGAACAGGCTGGATATAACAAAACTTTGACGTATAACTTCTCGGCCGCCCACGTAGCACCTGCATTATAATTATAAAAGTGAGCAACGGAAACTGCGCGGAATCTAATCGTCGTAGAACAATGCTCCTCGCGAAGATACGAATTCGAAACGTAAAACTCAAATGTTAACGAACTTCAAACATCCCAGCATCGATATCTACCACGGCTTCGGTCATTTCAAATTTCTGTTAAATCACTTAACACTTGAATCGAATTGAATCCTTAATTCGCCACTCCATCGAGTTTTCAACTTTAACCCTTCATAATTTCCATATTTACAATTCCACTACAGTCCTACAGTTTCAATCTAATAATTTTCTTACTTTGAAAATAAATTCTATAATTTTCAGACAAGTAAAACTATATTAATAAAATATGTAAATATATAAATGTCTCGAAGGAACAGTTAGAACTTCTTAATTAATTTCGTAGCGTGGGGAGTAAGTGAATATTCTCGTCGGTAGTTCAGGACCAGCCCGTACACCGTACTTATGTAGGTACCGATGAACGCCGGTCTCCATCATCGATGCGAGGATTACGCTGTCATCGCGTAATGACAACAGCCGCGACGTCACCGGCCGATAACGTAGCGCTTTCTTTCGTTTCTTTTGCGGGGCACGCGTCTCGCCGCGAGACTCTCGTGCATAAGCAAGAGGAGCGAAAGATGTTCCGCGCGTCAAGAATAAACCGAGCTATTTCGGGGGCTGGACAGACGCCCGCTTAGCCCCCCTCCCTCCTGCTCGTTACGTAATCGCGAAATTTCCTCCGATTCACATAGACAGGACGAAACTGCCGTGGAACATCAGCCATCGATCGTTCCATGATTTTTTTGTATCTCGTTGGACATGAAAAGGAAACAAACGAAACGGAAGGAAAGTTTTCGCATGAATAAAGCATGTTCATGAGCAGAATGTTATGGACGGTCCGTTCGAGATCGTAACCGTCGACTATTTTTAAGGGAGCCGTTAAAGCGCAGAAGACATTGAAGCGGAACGCGCGCGTTTAGATTTATTAGAAACAAATGTGAGCTTCGGTTGGGGAAGACGCAGCGGTGCTATGGCCGGTAGCTGCGTCGGGACGGCGAACTAACAAAATGGTGGACAGAGATCTGTCTTACCAACTTCTCGATGGATGAAGTTTGGATTCCGAAGTTTGAAGTTTCAATTTTGAGATTTTTAGTGATTGGTTCAGGGTATTGTTATGTTTTATTGTCAGGGATTTCGATTTGAGATGGACTAACCTCAAAATATTCTCGCGCAGCGTCGTTCATTTGCAGGAACTCCTGTGCAGCTGGCTCGTCCCTACAGTAGGCCACGTGCTTGTCGAAATCCCTTTCCTGCACGAACAAATAGTTTTATAAACATAAATATTAATCTATTTGGTCGTCGAATATCATTTTATTTGTTTGATTAAGAATTACTGATTGTGGCATTGAAGCGCTGAACTTAAACTTGGATACCCTAACTTTCTAAGGTTCTCGAGATGCCACGATGTTAATAGACTGCAGATTTGATTGATTTATATTAATTTTAAATCTTTCTTAAGTTTAAATTTGTTTCATTCGCTCAATATACGTTTATTTCTCTCTAAAATAATTTATATTAAAGTTACAATCTAAAAAGTTGATATCAAAAGTTAGAACCTAGTAATTCTAGTTAAAATCTAAAGTTAAAATTTCGCATTTTGCTCAATTTGCCTTGTTGAACTATTAGAACTATTTAGAATGCGTGTAATTACGATAAAAATATTACCAATCGAAGAAAAGTCTTGCCCAGCATACGTGGTTGATCCGCATAGTACTTGACCCCTTCGATCAACACCCTGCCGAACGATCTAAGTAAGGCTCTAATTAATATTCACGCTAAATCACACACCATGCCTACGAGCCGGGATCCACTCCCATCTCCAGTGTTTCAGTGCGACATATAGGGTGCAGTTTTACTACTGACAACGATTTTGGGAGCCGTTAATCGTTCACAAATCGATGCACCATTAGACTATCTATTGAGCTGCTTGAACAGGAGGTTATATCGAAGGGTAGACACAAATTAAAATTATTAAATAATCCTTGAGGTGAGACACAAGTCAGTATTCGTATTATCAAATAGTTCTACGGGTGAGACACAAGAATTTATTTTATTTTTTTGGTTTACGTTTTTGGGTGAGAATCGAACATCTTTCCAACGAGCAACGACACAGTTAGACATGATGCAAGATATTTTCAAAAACCAAACAGAAAGTAAAAGATTCGTTTTATATTTTCGATTAGTTGGGAGTGTCGTTTTTTCGTTGGAATAATCAATTTATAGGGTGAATAAAAGCGTGCTTTCGCATACTACGAGGGAAGGTGATCAAAACTTTCGAGGAATCAACGGTTTTAGTTCGACTATTGTATAAACAGCCAACACGAAACACACGATCACACAAAACTATGATTCATTGCCGAACTTACGCCATTTTACGATCTAAAGAAAAAAGAAATATACGTTGGCGAATAATGTGCGATGCGTGTCGTGTATTTTTTCAGCTTGATTCTCAGTATGGTTGTGTTTATATATCGTTCGATGGGATACGTTGTGATTGTTCGTTACCGAATTTTGTAGTAGAGTATTGAGGTTCATTTTCTGATCGAAAAATTGGTCATCACGATTGTATCTTCTGTCATGTGACTTGTGAAATGGTAAATTCAGATAGAATAGCAAATTGTTTCGTTTTTGTAATGAATATCTCGTTCGATGTGTCGCAGTGAACTCCGTTTCCTTTGCCAACGCGTCCGTTTATACGTACGTATTGTGGAAATCGGCAATTTGCTTCAGGTTCGTGAAGATGATGTCCTTGTTGTCGCGCACAATTCGCGGCACGTCCGGATTGTCGAGGGGTTTCAAATAACGTTCGACGACCAGCTGTAGGTCCCTGCCAAACTCTTCCTCGGTTTCGACCAGTTCTTTCACCACCGCTCTAGAAAAATGTTATTGTTAATCATAATTATATACTGTCATATCATATAACATATTCTAAATATACTGGTATACATAAATTTCTAATATTTATCATTCATAGAGTAACTACAACTACTTATGACTACTTATAACTTTGTTGTAAGATCAATGATAAACACTTAACTTACGAGTAACATATTTAATAATCTTTTAAAAATTGATGTTTATCAACTAAAAATTTCTTAATAAATTCTTTGATGGCAATAGACATTAGAATCACGAATCAACGAGTCATCTCGACCAATAAAATCTAATTACTTACATTTCAAAGGAAGTTAATTAAATTCTTTTTCATCACAATAAATGAGGAGGCTATTATTTAATATCAAGTAAGTAAAATGTTGACAAGAAAAATGCGTTGATATTATTTTGATGACGTACTCTCTTCGATAATGCGAGTCCTCGGGGCGGTGTCCAGCCGCTGTGTCCTCGCTGAGGGCGGTTTGCATTAAAATCGACATTGGCAGCCATCCTTCCTTAGAGTCTGCTGTGCGAACGTAGACTCTACGAAAAGGGACTTTCGTCAGACAATATATCTTTTAAATAAGAAAAATTTCAAATTCGTGGTACATATTTATTCTCATTTTTCCTTTAAAAAAAAAGGAATTGAGATTAAAATAAATGACTTTTTTTATATAGAAAAATATATCAGAAAAAATGTATACAACTTGTAATATAATGAAATGAGTAGACTGTACAACTTGTCCTTTCATTCACAATTAAGAAACTTCCTCAAATTTTCCCCTCTACCTTTTCACATTATACAGAACATTTAAGTACATATCGGCGCCAAAGATCTTTTATAATAACTTGATTAATGGAAACAATTAACAGCCAGTGCTTAATATTAAATATTGTAATTTTAAACATTTTCATACTTCGTTCATTGCAGAAGGGACCACATCAGACTTGATATTTCTACGCATGATTAAACGTGAACGTAAATTTAGTACAAAAATGTTCAGGTTCGCCGCCAGTAATATCCACTGGCCCACTTTAAATGGTACTGACGAATTCAAGGCCTAATGGGCCGAACAGACCGCCAACAAATTTTGCGTTCTGTTGAATGAACGACGAATACGAGAACCGGGAAGCCTGTTGCCTTAGTCACTAAACTCAAATATAACTTCCGACCGCCCACCCGCTTGTCTATGCGGCTATTTTTTGGAATATAACTTAGAAAAGATATTTTCCTCACGATGATGATGCATCTTGATCAATCGTATTCTGGCTCGCTCTCAACGCACGAAAACGTAACATTGTACAAAAACGGTGCAAAACATCGTCAAATATAAATCGTACATTTACACACCTCTTAATAAATTTACTAACGTTCTAAAATATTCGGTTATTTCTTTAATAAACAAATGATCCTCTATTTTTTATTAAATCAAATGAAAATAGAGACTTAAACTAATTATACAAATTGAAATCAACCTGTGAAATTCGACAAAACTGTCCTGCTTTCTATTTCCTTGTTCCGATTAAATTGCCAACAAAAGAAATTCGTTCTTTCCTCGGATCAAATATTTTTTAACGTTAGTACATACGCTTATTAAAGAGAAATGGTACACGATGCAAGCTTCTCAATAAAATTTCCCGTAGAACATAATGTGGAACGTGGTAAATAGCCCGCGGTCCATTGAATGTCTTTATCGCCAAACCAGCGAAACCGACGTATTAGTTTGAACCTCACCTTTACGCGAGCTTATTTTCAGAACTGGCCGATATTTCGCCTTCCCCGGAATCGAGGTACCCTTGGCGAGCCAATAGTACGAAACTCGTTAAATTATGTAACCGAATTTTATTTAGCTACGCAACATTTCATCTCGAACCGACGTAACGCGACACATTCTCCAAAATGTCTCGACGCGTACAGCCGAGCTTGGACGCGGCTGCTCGACGAAAGGAAATCGAACGAAACACGCGATCACGCCCCCGCGATTTCCCGATACGCGCGAAAACGGTAATTTCCCGAAGGATAATTTATACATTATCGGCTCTGCAACTATTCTGGCCGGCGGCCAATCATGCGAAGTGTCTCAGGATATTATTGCCGTAGGGACGTTTATAAGCGTTTCGTCTTCATTAACGTCGTCATAAATTAGCGCGGTTGGTTTTATCTTGGAGCGCATCGAGTTGAGACATCATCGGTATTAATATTACAGACAATGTAACCTCGAGCATCCTTCGCGCAGGACATACCTGCTTCTGTTTCGAGTTCCAATTCTCGGATCATAATGTAAATCGAGCGAACAACGTTCTCGGTTCTGGGATAATATAATCTATGATTATGTCGTATTAACAATAAAATTGGAGATTCAATGAATGGATCGAGCACAGAACAGCTCTGATCAAAGGGACTTTGATCTGAAAGAGAAATCGCTGTCCGGCCGTGGAATGATAAATAAAGGTAATGGAGGCAAGAGAAAACTGTAATGAACGGTCGATGCAATATGTTCCCGCGGAATCAAGGAGCGAACAGGCACATTTAATGGATTAATAGTCGTTTCGTTGTAAAGCAGGAAGGTTGAAATACGACGAGTTCATTGGCTCCGACGTGAACGTAATGCCCGGGCTACTGTTTCACCGCAACACCTGTCGTTGCTATATTTCGTGCACGGATATAGTCATGAGAGGCCTCCGTGAAATCCGCAGTACTCCTCGACTCGTTCGACAGTGACTTTTTATCTTTCCTTTTATCTTGCCTTTGATATCGCTCGATTGTCGAATTGATGTTTTATGTTGGTTCTCTTAATAGAGTTAATGCGGATCGAAACTAGTTCTCAAAGCGGATATCAGTTTTCCACTGGTGTCCCCAACTGTAGTCAATGGTGTACCTCTTAAGGCAGATAATCAAGGATATGCTATAGTTCTCAAGCTGTTATTATAGTTTCCAAAACAATGTTACAGTTCTCAAGGCGATACTATAGTTTTTAAGATGATAAAACAGTTTCTAAGGCGATGCTAACGCCTGTACTATATTTTATAGGCGATACTAAAGCAGTTAAGACGACACTGTAGTTCGCAAGGCAATAGTGTTATTCTGAAAGCAATAATATAACTGTTAAAGCGGTATTGTAGTTGTCAAAACAATACTATAACCATCGAGTTAATATGTAGTTTCTAATTTGATCAAGGAATTCGCCTTTGGAAACTCTCAAGCATATCGTATATATTAAAGTAGACATTTCGGATTTCCAGTTCTCCGATCCTTCAACGAGATATCGTCAAATTAGAAAGTGACAGAGGCACGCATGGTTTAACGAAGAACGGTCGAAGGAGTGAAATTTATCGGTCAGCTTGCACCTGTTAGGACCATAACTCAGTGACCTGTACCAGTGATCTTGAGGCGTAACGATGATGCGTCCTTGGCGAAATTTTCACGCTTCGATGCGGAACTCTGTTCTGACGATAATCCATTGTTGAGATTGTCATTGAATGATCTTCAAGCTTCGGTTGTTATCTCGACGACAATATTTTATACAGTCACGATATCTTCCTCGATCCATCCAATTTATCATTTTCTTAACACACTTCATTCACTACTATGTGTCCATTCGCTTACGTTCTTCAATTCCTTTTGATCTAGTTGAGCTCTACAAATTGATTTACGACAGCGTTTCCCAAGGTTTCAAGAAAGTTAAAGATTGTTCAGTAATAGTAAAAGAATTCAACTATCAGCTTCGCTTTCAAGATACCAACAATCAACCAATAGCGTCACATGAATTAGGTTTATACCCTGCTTCCAGCTCGATGAGTCAATGGCAGCGTGGGCACTGACCTGCCTCACGTGCGTCATTATTGCACATCGCTCTTTACAGAGGTCTTCAATCAATAACGACTCTAAAATGAACCTGAAATCGCAGTTTTCCACAATAAAAGTTCTAAACGCTACAAACATCTTCCTCTGCCAACGATCTTAACACTCTTTCCACGGAAGGTGTCAAAAGACACCTCGAATTTTTAACTTAAAATCATTTTCCAAGTTTAATCGTATATTCTGAATTGACTTTTCGACTGTTCCAATAACGATTATACGATTAACTACAAGAAATGTCGAAAATTCAATTGAGGAAAAATGATTAAACTGAGAGAATAATTAAAACGTCAAAAGATAACTTTCAATACCTCCGGTAGAAATAGTATTAACTAATCCAAATGTATGTCTTTCCTCAAACCTCTACAATCACCCGGGAAACGCCGTTGCGCGAATACGGTACCTCTGAAGGCTGGTGTCCGAGCTCGATCGCGAAACGGACCGAGCGCGGGGGTCAGCGTGTTTCCGTCGCGGTCTGACGGAGAGCCTGTGCCAGGCGGCGGAGTTGTCCAGCACGTCGCCGATCTCTCCGATATCCAGATCAGGGTCCAGCTTGATCTTCCTAGAACACGGCGAAAGCGCCCAGAATAGAGCTAGCCGCAGGCCGAGTCAGGCCCCGATCGTCGTCCACGTTCCGCTGATTTTTTAATTCGGGCTTCCATGCAGACTAAACATCATTCGCCGTTAATCGCAGAGCAAGCGGAGGCCGTGCTGGGTTAAAACGCGTATGCGGTACGCTTTCATTCCGCTGGCATTCTCACCGTTCCGTTTGTTATTCGGCTTCGATTTGCCGATATTTATGGCTCCAGCGTGTCTATTCGCGGCGTTCACAGGCGTCTGTTATCGCTATTTCCTCCGGGAACCGAAAGCTCGATCATCGACGCGTTGTCCACGGTCCGCCGAACATTTTATTTCCGTCGCGCCGAGCGGAACCGTTCGCTGAACCTGGAGACGAGCGACGAAGCCGTTTCAAGCGCGAAACTTTCCATCTGCCGACGGGCGAGTGCCGTCGACGTGTTTTATAAACGCGGGACCGGTACGTCGTTCGCGTAAAAATATCGCCGCGAAAATAAGCAAAGGGGAGCCCGTGGGACGGTTTCCCGTGGTTTGACACGCGGATCGACCGAGCTTCGAGCCACCGCGGTGGTTCCTTCGCGTTGTTCGATGCACCGGAGTTATCCTTCGAGGTTAATGCATTTTCCAGCGATGTTTTGGATGTTTCATGCAGCGCGCACCATTAGGCTATACATTAGTGTTGCGACTGGACTGTGGATCCGTACGAGATGTAGACTTTTGTCACGTTGATTGTACGTTCAATGTGTTATCCGAGCGACTCGTGAATGAGAAGAAAGACAGTCGCCAAACAAGGTTACATCTTGTTTTCTGGTTGACGCACCATTTTGTCCGGCGATATTTTAGCAATGTCCACTCAACCTCGAAAAACAGGAATTCGCGTAAAGATCCACAGAACAATTATAACAGAAGATTGAAGTGTGAAGAGATCGAAGTAAATTTTCTACTTTCAAAAATAGCAACTCACTGATTCGTCGATTTGAAAATTATGGACGAACTAGAAAAATAGTGTATTATTTATGATTAATAATCTAACATAAAGAAACACTCGAGCCAGTGCAATAGAATGAGAGAAAGCAGCGAGGATTACTGGTGTAACCTGATTGAACTCAATAACGATAGTATAATAAATTCAATGTATCCCAAAAATCAACGTCGACAGCGGGTGGCAGTCATAAGTTTCCTGCGTACCCTCTCTGAAATGAATGAGTTATGACGACGCGACGCGAACCTGGCGTTAATGAAAGCAGCACCCGTTAATGAGAAGCCTGATTACGCGGCCGAAAACCGGAGGAGTTTTCCGAAAGTGACAGATCGCTCGCAACAAACTCCCGTATCCCATCGGGCATAGGCTATATAGGGGCTGAGGATTATTTTCGGCCGCGCACACGTTGCACACACACGGAAATAGAATTTTAACGGCGCACGCAAATGCCCCGACACGCGGAGTCAACGATCCAACAAAACAACACGGATCATTTGTTTTCCCTTCCATTTTATGAAGCTGGCTGGAGACTGCTTACTTGGCTGGATCCGCGTATTCGAGGGCCTCGACGATATCGCCGACATTTACGGAGAAATCGCCCGTGTCGCTCTTGTAATCCTTCACGACGATATAGTTGTCCAGGGATTTCTGTAACAGAGAAAACGATCATCGAGTCGTGGCTGCTTCAAGTTTTCACCGAAAGATCGAAATATCGCACAGATGAATCGCAATGACGACTCTAGCAAAAAGAAAATGAATTCTTTCGTTGAACTCCGTTTAAAGAATCGAGAAACTCGAGTGAGTTGACATTTTGAATTTGTATAAAATAATTAGGAATATTATCCCGTTCCCAACATCAACCTAAATTCCAACAGCGTAATAACAACAAAATTATAATTGAACGAAAATGTAGGCTTGAAGGTATCGAAATGAATATGCATCTGAATGTTTTACGACTCTATTGTTGATAAAAGGATCTCTATTCATAACAGAAACCCTCTCCTCGAACATTACCCGCTCAGAGCTACTGTCTTGCTGGAGGCTGCTCAATCTTCTCAAACTCGGCGTGTTTTCTCTGCTAGCGGAATATGCGCAAGATTTGTCCGACCTGGAGAGCACGACTCCATTACTCTCCTGTTTCTGGCCGTTCCCATTTCCGGACCCATCGAGGCTACTTGCGATGGAAGTAGTCCCAGTGAACGTAGACACTATCTCGATATCCAAGTCCTCCTCTTTCGCGACCGGGCAACAGTACATAGAAAAGCGATGAGCGGTGGGCCGGTTGAGTCTGAGAGCGGAGAATACGTGCAGCGGTTCAAAATGGCTGATACCGTCCTCGTCGAGGACCGTGTATGCCACCTGACCCGTGAGAACTGATCTGGAAGCTTCCCTCGGCACTACCGCCTGCATGCCTTGCTTCAGGATCATAAAAATGGACGACGATCGGTGACTTCTCCTCAGAAGGAACTCCTCCATTGCTAGACTGTTGTCATTTTGAAGCAGAACGCTGGGTACATCAGCGGACGATTGCAATGGCGCTTCTTCAGGGACGATCATTAGCGCTGCACTCTCTCGCACCAAAGTTCGGAGCCTCGGGTCGGTCCTCGCTAATTCTGGGTCGCTGCAGAGCTGCGTCAGGGCGTTCATGAATGGCGGCCTCTCTTCGGCTAGTTTCCTCATCACTGTCAGCCTTTTCAAAACGTCCAGTGTCACTCTGTCGCTGGCTAACACTTGCGTGGACTGCTCGTCGCTGATCACTGCTAGCAGGCTACTCGCGATGCTGGACATCCCTAAAGCTCTAGCTAGACCGACAGCTTGAAGAAGCAGCTCCCGAATGTTCTCTCCATCGTCGTTCAGCAATTCTTGCACTCGAATCTCGCTCGACTCGCGAACCGCGTGGACGATCGCTTTGTGAACGCTCTCCGCTGCTTCTTTTTCGGTGGATATGGTAGACACTTCCTCGGACACTTTGCGCAGAACTCTGGAGACCAATTCCGGGTCGTTCTTGGAAACGGTTCTAAAGGCTGGACCCACTAAATCCGTTCCGTGATCCTCTTCCAGGACCATAGACAGTCTGTCCAGCACCACTTCGTCCTTTAAAGACTGGCTAACCACGGTGGACTTTAGTATGTCCACTTTGTTGTTTTTGCTCTCTATCAGCTCTAGCAACGCGGATTGACACAGGTTGCTCCTGTTCTGAGGGACTAGAAGTATATGCAGGATCTCTTCGACAGATTCTTCCATGCTGGTGTACTTCTGCCGCAGGTGCACGTTGAAAGCCTCGCTGATGCAAGAGTAAACGAAATCCTGTTGCTCTTCTGTGTTGGTTTCCATGGAGTAGTTCGCGACTGCTAGGACAGCGCTAGATAACGCTGACTTGATCGCGTCTCGCAACCAGTCATCATTCTCGCTCCCATTTCCTTGATCATCGCTTTTACTGCTGTTTATAATCATCGAAGACTTGCTACTCTTCAACATCTTAGAAGTAACGAGATTCTCATCGAGCTCCTGCTGGACAGCAATGTTCTTCGCCAGCTGGGCAACGGTAGAAACTATCTGCGCCATTTTAACTGCGGTGCTGCCATGCAGTCCCAGTTTCTCTGCCATCACCAGCGCGTGTTCTAGAGCCACTGCCTTTGGGTCCACGTCGACGTCAACAGCTGGCAAGTCGGTAGCAACCTTTCTTCCAACCGATAATCCTGCCTCCGACAACTGTCTCAACATTCTAGCGTCAATGCTGGTCTCCCCGTGATGTTGCACATGCGGATTGTAGTGCAAATGCTGCGGTCTGAGGAGCCTCAGCTCTTCTGGAGTGACTTCAAACCCTTGCACAGAAAACTCTACTTCTCCCTCGGGTGTGTCCGTTAGATCCGGGGCGACAAAACGCGGACCCTCCTCCGTTTGAACGATTTGCCCAGGCACGAAGGTTACCCCTAGCTCTCCAGACTCCACCACGCGACCTGGTACAAATCTGGGCCCTTCCGGAGTATCCACCACCTGACCAGGAACGAATCGAGATCCCTCGTCCTCCGTGGAGATCACTTGACCAGGAATAAAAGTGGGACCGACCTTGGTCTCGACGATCTGACCAGGCACGAAGCGCGGCCCATCAGCAGTCTCCACCGTCTGGCCCGGCACGAATTTCGACCCTGTCCTGGTCTCTACCATCTGTCCAGGAACGAACTTCGGCCCTGTGCTGGTGTCTATCACCTGGCCAGGCACGAACTGTTCACCTTTCTCTGTCATCACAATCTGGCCAGGCAAGAAACCGTCTTCCGTCATCACACCTGGCACGAATCTTGGACCGTCCTTTCCTCCGCGGACCAGCTGTCCCGGGACTATCCGACGCCCTTCGGGTAACTTCTTCGCATTTTCCGGAAAGAATTCCACACCTCGTTCGGTTTGCACCATGTGGCCGAAGATCTCGCTCTGTTGCAAGGACACGTTCGCAGTCTTCGGGTCGACGGGTATGCCGACTGGCCCTGCGTCGTGGAACACGACTTCGTCGAACTTCGTGGCAGCAGCAAACTGAAAGCCATCTTTCGTCAGCTCTGTTTTCCCTGGGAAGAACTTCTCGCTTTCTGGTGTCCTCAGCAACTGACCTTCCACGAACTTCTGGCCCTTCGGCGTGTCTAGAGTCAGGCCGGGCACAAAGGTCGCGCCCTGGTCCGTGTCTTTTACAAGACCAGGCACGAAGCGGCCTTCCCCTGAGTTGTTAGCCACATATTGTCCAGGTACGAACTGTGGTCCTTGAGGTGTCGGGAGCGTCTGACCAGGTACAAACTTGGTTTCACCCGTCGGAGACTCTATGCACTGCCCAGGCACGAACTCCCAGGATTCATTTATTTGCACGCTCTGCCCTGGGATGAATACTTGTTCTCCTCGGTGATCGGTTATGGTTTGACCTGGCATAAACTTAGGTCCATCAGCAGTGAGGATGGTCTGACCAGGCACGAAGGTTCCATCTTCCTTCGCTTGGCCCGCGACGAACTTTGGTCCCTCCTCAGTGAGTACAGTCTGTCCTTGAACGAATCTAGCTCCTTCGTTGGTATGGAAGGTCTGGCCTTGAATGAACCGGTGACCTTCCTCGGTGGGAAGTGTCTGTCCAGCCACGAACACCGGCGTCCTCTTGTCGTCTTGCTCTTGGACGTTGAATATCTGACCCGGCACGAGGACAGGACCGTCAGGCGTGTTCACGGTCAGGCCAGGCACGAACGCAGGTCCCTGAGGTGTCTGCAGCGTCTGGCCAGGTACGAAAATAGGGCCGGACGGCGTCTGCACCGTCTGTCCGGCAATAAATCTCTGCGCGGACTTGATGTCCAACTTCAACCCCTTGATCCGGTGTATGGTAGCCTCTTTTCCTTTCGCGATGTTCTGCACCAGCTCGGGGATCTCCTCTACCTTCGGCAGCTCGTCCAGCGCCTGCTCACCAGCTTGCAGAAGCTTTACGTTCACATTCGATACCTCTTTCAAATCTGCAGCTGGAATATTCTGTATGGCCGACAGCACAGACGAGTCCAGGTCTATCTTTAGCGGCGTCAGTGGCTTCACCACCGATATCGCCTCGAAGCCGCCAGTGTTCTCTGAAACCGGACTGGTGCACCCAGATGAGGCACCTTGCTCTATGACCTGAGGGTCCGTTTTAATAGGAGATGGCAGTTTCTCCGCCACAGGCAACAATGGAGATTTCGCTGCCTCCTGAAACGAATTCCAGTCCAAGGTTTGAGGAAGAGATTTGGCGGTCTCTTTCAACGATCCCGTAACAGAGATCAACTCGCACGCCCTGATTCTAGCTTGCTCCAGGTCGACGCTCTTCCAAGTCTCAACTTTCTCCTCTTGAACCTCTTCCTTGACGCTTCTCAACCTAACTTGCTTCGTCCTCCTCAACTCCTCTTCTTCAGCAGCTTTCTCTTTCTCCTCAAAGATCCTCTTCGCATAACTCAGCCCAGCCTGTCGCTTCCTCTTCCTCTTCCTAGCCTCCGCTTCCTGCTTCTCTCTCTCCTTCAACACGTCTTCTCTGGGACCTAGCCCATCATAGAGGTTCTCGAAATCCTCCAGGTTCTTGAAGTCCACCGAAACATTTTTCCCCTGCTTTAACCTAAACAACACGGTGTCGCAGTCCCTGGAGAGCATCACGTCTTTTACGTCTCCATCTCGGACCGCTGCCTCTAGTCTTGAGGGGAACACCAGGCTGCATCTTCGTTCCTGTACCGTGTAGACAAACTTAGCAGCCTCTTCTTCGGCAGACGGATGTTTTGTATTCAGTAAATCCCTCAGAGCCCTCTGCTGTTCGCCTTCGCCTTCCAGAACAGGGAACACGTAACGATAATCCTTGAGGATCACGTGCTTCTTCTTCTCGCCCAAAACGAAGCCAGCAGTGTAATGATGGGGTCCAAGTCCGGACGCGTTCGTGATCTTGCATTTCGACTTGTCGTGGCTGTGCACGCCCAGTAGGACTGGAATGTAATGGTGCGTGGGCAGGCCGTAGGATTTCCCGGTGATGCGGCAGAAGCGTTTCGCGTCGGCGGGGCTGATAGGTGGCAGCAGCGGGAAATAGTTCGGCTTCGGCAGGCCTCTGCTCCGACCGGTTATCCTGCAGAAGGACATCCTGTCTCCTTTAGTTGACTCAAACTCTCATCGATACACTATACCCCGTCCACTAGGGAATCGAATGTTCACCGTGGAGGCGTAGCTTTGATTGACTTATTTCAATTAACCCCGACCGTCTCGCCCAGGGCTTGGCATCGCCACGAGGAGACCCTTGTACCCGATCGGTCAGCCGTGACTTCCTCTTGGCTTGCCCGCAACGGACCCGTCAGTGAACGCATACGGCGTCGGCCCCCATTGCCCTCGGTTCTTTCTCGCCATAACTCGTCCACGTGGAGGCGATCGCCAAAGCGTCGCGGGGCGGGTCCTTTCACCAATTAAACTTCAGCTCCTCGAACATCCGACTGCGAACCAGTCGGAGCCCAGAAGCCGTTTCCAGTCATTTAAACTTTTCGTCGGCGAATTTTTCGCGCGGCTATTCTTATTTTCACTTCAGTCCCGCTTAAAATAAAGAGCCTCTCCGCGCGTCCCTGTTAACCCAAATTACTTTTCAACCCGAAGATGCTTGCGCGAGGAGAGATTCGATTCGTTTCTTCTGCCTGGCTCGTCGCAGCCGTAATTTTTCCCCCGGGGCGTCGTCGTTCCGACCGCTCGTTAAAAAGTTTCCCGTCAAACCCCGCGCCAGCCACGGTTTATTTTTACGTAAGGTATGCCCGCGAGGATTCCGTTCTCCTCGTTACCGCTGTTGCCTGGTACCCGGCCAATTCGACGATTTCCTCGTCGGCAGAAAAGGGGAGGCTCTTTTTTCGTGCGGCCGACCGACCCCTTCGGCGCCGACCCGTTCCGATTACGCGACTAGTCAGTTCTCGCTCAGGGGATTCTTGGCCGCCCTCGAGGCTCCAACACGGTTGGCAACGGGGCGTCAAACGATTGACGCTGGCTTGACGCGTTCGACCCCCGGCACTGTCAAAATGTCGTCCATCATCCTGCCCGATTGATGATTATTCTCTTTTCAGTGGGATTCACCGGTTCACGGAGCAGCCGAGCTTGTTTTCCTAGAGTATTTTTCTTTCCCAAAGACAAATTCTCGATGACACGACACTGTCGACGCGTTTTGTCCAATGATATTTATGTCGTCGATGTTTCAAACACTGGACGTATTTGTTTGCTGCGCGACGAAACGACACGCTGTCCCTGATACCCCGGTATTTCACGATAAACCACCGAGCGTCCGTAGCTCCAATCCGTCTTCCCCTGGCGCCGCCGCTCGTTTCCACCTCGTCACTTTCACCGATCTTCACCAACCACCATCTATTTTCACGCCGGTGCACTGCACTCTATATCGGTTGTCAGACCTAACCGACGCCGTTTCGCGGAACACAATGAATTAGCAGAACGCTCGCGCGGAATACACGTACGGCATCACCTGTTCCACCAGCGTGAACCACTTTCCACCCCCTCGGAGACGGTTTTTATAGAAAATCATAGAAAATCCCGATGGGATTGAGATCAAATTTTATTCTGGCCCCGGTTGACTGAATCACAGAAATTCGAGATGAGACGTTGGAGTCAGAGTCGTTGCGACACGTTCGTTTTTAAATGTCGATTAATCCTCTCCGTTTGGGAGATTCATCGTTATCGTCGAGTTTAGAGATTCCGCGCGATGAACACGCCGAAAGGAACATTCCGATGGACACTGGTCCGGTTGATCCGTCGCGAGATCTGTTTCTCCCGGTCGAAGAGTCGTTTTTAAGCCGCGTATCACTGCGAGGAGGAGACGGAGGAGGACGCGAGAGCCGGCGCGCGTGTCATCTCTCGCGCTGCCGCTACCGTAGCTGCTCTGCTTCCCACCGAAATGCGTATTGCCGATACGCGGCGAACGCCAGACTACCTCTCGGTGTACGAAGTGGCTAAGAGCCGTTTGCGCGACGAGTCTCTCCGGCTCCCCACGACCAGAAATAGCTACCCTTCTTACACTTCTCCAATACATCTTTAGAACGGAGTTACACGGGCTCCGGGGAAGACGCGCGCGTGTCCGCGACAACGCGGGATAAGGGTGTCGGTACGGGGATTCGACCAAATAACGGAAACTGATCGTACGTTTAACGAATTTTTCGTTAACACTAGAACTACCGCAACTGCCAAGATGGCGGATTTCAGTTTTCTTATTCCGCGAATATTGATATCTCAAAAATGCTAAATAGCTGAAATGATTTTATACGTGAGTAGGTTCGATTGAATACTGCAACGAGTATATTTTTGCAAGGACTATATGTTAAGTATATTAACCCTTTGCATTTATACAGCAAAATTATGAAGTTGAATATTTAGTATTTTAAATTAAACTTTGTATTGCTATAGGAAATATTTAAATAAAATAACTTTGTCGCTTAATTTATCTGTGAGTTATCGTTAAATTAGTTTCAAACAGTGTCGTTTATATCTCGTCGAAAAATATAAAATATTTCCAGTGAAAAACTTTCGAGTGTAAAGAATTAAATGCTTCTAGTGTTACCCATTGTCCTATGATTTTTTTTGTAACAGCTTGTTACAACTATTTTATTGTCAATAGTTTATTACTAAAGGAAGAATCCTATATTCGTTCTATGTCTACATTTAGTGCCATCGTTTATTTACCTCTTCAAATATTAACAATTAATAAGGGAAAGATAATGTAGGTATAATTTTGATTCGAAGAAATTGAATCTTCGAAGTTCTGTTTGAAATCTTCGTCACGAGTGTGATACGATATACGACAAAGGGTTAATGTAGAGTAGGACTATTTATTCGAGTCTCATACAGCTGAACTTAAATGAAATCGTATAAGTCTTGACTAACAGGTAATGATATAATATACAACTGTTCGTTGAGAAGTTAATTTCATTGTCTGCTACACGGTACACGGTTTATAAGTAATGTTTCCATTATTTTGTCGAATCCCTGTAAACATTCGACGAGAAATTCGTAACATTTCGCGTCACCTAGGAAATTGTCATGAGATACTGCTACTCGAGATGTACGACTCCATCTTCGAATGTAGAACCATATTAAACCCATCATACAAAAGACCAATCTAAAATAAACGAAGTACAACAAATCTATCTAAAATTCATCTGAACTCTCATCCAATTAAAACAATTAATCAATTAATCAATTAATGAGCTAGAACCATACATTTCAATCACAAAGCATTCAGAATTCGGATACCAAATACGCACGCCCACGATAACGCGAATACTCGATTCAACTCGATAATTGAACCAGCGAAGATGGAAAAGGGCAACGCTGTGCAGCCCAGCTATTTAAAGCATGCCGATTATCGCCTCAACCGCCTACTGCAGGCCCGATTTCTTTCTTTAGTACCGGTTGCGTCATTATTTGATATAAATCCTGCCGGTTTTCCGGGGAGTACGCGCGTGAGAAACTATTCTCGACCCAGTTACGCTGCGATATGAAATATCGCGTCCGATTTGATCCTCTAAAATTATCAGCGCAGCGCACTGTACGCGGGCAAGTAAGTAGGCACGCGAAACACTCGTGAAACCATCGATATCCAGCGCGCAACGAGAAGGGGCGAGGGAACGTGGCACCGGCGCGAAAAGATTTTCATACGAAATACGGAAACCCCGGCAGAAATTGAGTATTGTCAAGATAACTAATGCCGCCGACAAGTGAGTTTATTTATTTCGAAGTGCGCTCGAGCAAGAGTAAGTGATATAGTGGGTGATAAATCTGGCGCGTACGCGTGTCACCGTACGCAATTTGCCGGAGATGAATAAGACACCTGTTACCATTTTTCAGTCACGCCCTCTCAGTCAGCTTCCCCGCCGTCCCTCCCGTCTGTACCCCTCTCGAATTATCGGTCGAATTCTGGTTTCTGAAATGCCAGTAAATTTCGATAGCCGGCCACGCCTCGGTGCCAACAGATGCGGCGAGCGATCAACGCGCGAAACGTCGCGAGATGAGATGCGATTGATCCGCGTGCATCGTCGATCCGCGTTTCGATCTCGTTTGCCAATGTTTTGGGATCGAGAGTGCGATAAACTGTTGGAATATATACAGGGTGATGAAGAAAAGGCGTTCATGATGGCTAGGGGAGTTAGCACCCGTTGAGTGTTGCGAAAAAATTCTAGTGAATGCGGATGGAAAAAATCAATTGCTTCGATGAAAACATAAAATTGTTTAGAAGTTTAAAAATTAATGATAGTAACTTTGATAATTTTATGGCTTACGTTTATAGGAACTTTCTTGCAGCGTTTGTTTATTATTGCTTTTTTAATCAACCTGTGTATCTGTAACTACGACTTCGGGTAATTGGTTTGAAGCAAGGGTAAAATCACCTACGCGATGCCACGTGTGGGCAAAGTATGCATCAGTCTATGAGGCAAAGAAACTATAGAAGCTTCTGCTTTCAGAGCAATGTGTACACAAATGTTTAACGGGAAGATACTTCAATCGCTAATACTAAAACTACCAGACAGGTCAAATTGACCCACTTCAGAATTTTTATTTTGCAAATATTGAAATTGTGGAGGCTTTTTTGCGAGAGAGTTTCTTCTGATTTTTGTAACAAATTGAAAATAAGTCATTTTAATTGCTCGGTAGTTTTAGTGTTGAATCTAAGATACATATTTCCCGTGCGCCACGCGGTGCGTTTTCGTTTTTCTTGGTGAAACGGGTAACGCTGCAACGTGGTTTCACGAAACAAGAATTCGGCTCGTTTCGGCTGTTAATCCTATAATGATCAGCTCTGGCAGCCGTACAGCCGGGAACGATAATGTTTACGCCAAAAAACGAGCGGAACGTGCCTCGGTTGGACAGCAAACAGGGCCGGCGAAACCTATTGTATTTAATTAGAACGACAAACAGTTTTGGTACGGAGTCTTAAACTCGAACTAAAAAAAGATCTTTTTGGAACGGCTGAACTGAGCCGTACATCGTTCTAAATTATGAACAGTCAATTAACACGAGATTTACGCATATTTACTGTACACTCGATCGTATTGTTCCTAGAACAACAGCGGTTCATTCATATAGATCTTGGAAATTAGAACCTCCAAAACAAAGGATTCAAATACGTATTCCTATAATTGTATCAATTAAAATTGATATAAACTTTTACCAAATAATATTCATGAAAATTACTATCCGACAAATTGATGAGTTTTGTGAATCTAGTGTTAATGCAAAAAATATGGAGAGTCAGACTGAACAGCGAGATGCGGTTTATTTTGTTACAGCATCTAGAGGGTTTCAATCTATTATTCAATCATTTAAATCTATTAAAATTTGTCTAACATGTCTAAAGAGAAGCCAATAAAAGCAGAACACATACAACAAGCAATCAAAACTATGAAAATACGCCCATTACTTTTAATTTTCACCGAATAAAAAGAGAAATTAAAGAAAAGGGAGTCCTAAGAATGGAAAATTCTCTATTTTTATAAAACGTTGGAAGGGTAAAAACGGAGCCTCATCTAGGAACGTTTTGTCCCCAAGTGGTTCAGGATGATGAACGATTACAGTTCGATTTATAGCCGAGCAATAACTGTGGGACGGGCCAAGGCTGATGCTGATTTATCACGAATTGTTTCTGTCACAGCGTTTTGGCCGGTTCCGTGACGATAATTCACAGGGTTGTCGCGGCAGCGCAATCCCGAGCGAACGATAAAAAACCGCGTCGCCTCGGCGTTCTCTCTCTATCATTCATTTTACAACGTTTGTGTACACATTTAATAAGATTCGCGCGTCGGAGAAGCTCACGCGGTCTTCTTTACGTTTAAATATTCTCGTAAACAGCCGTTTTCCACGGATGAGATGAAAGAAAAACGATCGCGGGAACGGATGTTGCCGTTGCCAATAGCGCGTAGCGTGTGGTTTTTAAACCTGCCAAACAACCAGCTGACAGCCGGTCGTTATTCATCGAAACTAAGTACACGTTAAGTTTCCGCGCGAAGTAACGGTCGGCTCGGCACCTATTGGCACATCGACGCGCGTTCGTTTAAACCGCGGTCGGTTGACGATCTGCCAAAGATTACAGATTTCGACCTGGACGAAACCGAACGTGCCGACGCGGCGCCCCCCGTGACTCATCTTATCGAGTCGTTGACATTCGAACGCGATTCACGAAATGAATCGCGATCGTGGTCGCGGTTGTCTGACTCCCGAACGAATGGCGTGCGACGCGGTGTCCTTCAAAATGGCCGCCGCGAAATGAGCAACACGGTGCGAACGTCTAAATCATCCTCACGGCTACCACCCGACGAGAACTGCGACAATAAATTAATTAAACCGTCACCGACTCGATAGAGTTATTCCACGGTTAAGTGAAATATAAGTTGGGTCACCTTGAGGACCGCCATCGGAGTAGCAACCGACGATCCCGTTGGTTTTACTTCGCGCGTATCTGGCTGGGGCGCTATACTGCTCAAATGCGTTTCCTACAAAGCACCAACGGTTTAAACAGTGATTTACGGCTTGGGGAACGCCAATTCTAAACATAAACGTGGGTATTTGGATACACGTCAATTGACTCGATTTGTATGGTTCAATTGGCAACGCGTTCGGGACACTTATGACTAAGTTGAATACTCATCGTTATGGTATTTTGCGGAATTTTGAAGACGAGAATCGTGGATGATTTAATCGGCAAATCGAAATGTAGGAGAATTGGCGCCTAATATTGGTGTAGAATTGCTTAAGGTATTACGATCTGATGACAATCAATCGGTGAAAAGTTCAGCTGCTACAATAGACTCGATTCTCAAACCTCAATTTATAACTAATGAAACTCGATTCTTAATTTGCAAGACTCTTTGATTTCTCACGGCGAAGATATACAACCTAGAACTCGTGCAGTGCTAGATATTAAACTGTAACGTGAGCCAGTCGTTCCGCAATTAGGGGGTCCG